CTAACCCCCTAACCCCCTAACCCCCTAACCCTTGGCTCAGTCCCCCTGGCCTACGCTATTCCATCCGAAGTACGTTCTCGCCGCCACCACAGCTGACATCAGATTCTGCCCCGCAAGTGGCGATCGCTTGCTCAGTCTCTGAACAATGTAGCGGCAGGGCTTGGGGCCGTCATTGCCCCGGTGTAGGCTTACCTCATAATTAGCTTCGCTGACGGCCAGGGTTATGGGAGCGCTCGTCAAAAAGTCGGAACACAATGGCTGGAGAAACTTTTACGTGGGTGCTCCGCAAGATGAACTCTCTCCTGACAGAAGTGGATTCAGATGGCCCTTTGGGGTATAACGGTACTCGGGATCCTTTTCGGCTATCGACCTCCGAAGCGGCACACTGCCCTCGATCACCTTTCCTTCACCCAGAAACTGGCGCGATTGGACCTCCCTGGAATGGCCCCGTGAGTTGGCATCGAATAATGATCTGACGTCAGCTTGCTACGGGGCTCACGTTGCTGTTGGCTGGCCTGCAGCTGGGAGGCAACCCCTGGGCGTGGACTAATGCCCGTGTTCTCTCGACACTGGTCATTGGCATTGTTGTCCTAATCGGCTTCTGCCTGTACGAATGGAAGGGTACCTCGACGGGTATTCTGAGCCACGAGCTCTTTAAGCGCCGAACCTTCACCGTTTGCATCCCGCTCATGTTCATCGAGGGTATCCTGCTATTCGCGATTATCATCTTCTACCCCGCTGTGTAAGTCTTGCGAGTAGAGCAGGATCTGACCTCAGTACGGCCGCCTTCTTCGAGCAGGACCCGCTGAGGGCGGCTGCCCGCCAAATCCCATTCTGGGGCATCGAGGACTCGTCACGATCGGGTACGGCCTGTGGAGCTCAAAGCGGCGCACCATCCGGAGCCCTCTCATGGTCGGCTTTTTCCTCTGGATGGCTGGCACTGTAGGAATGGCAACGATCCAGCCAAACCAGTCTGTGAACCACGTCGTCTTCAACGGCCTTTGCGGCCTCGGCTTCGGCGGTCCGCTCATTCTGCTCATCTCGTGTGCGCAGCTCGCTGTTCCGCACCATCTGATCGCTACCGCGACGGCGGTCATGACCTCGTCACGTGCCGTTGCCGCAGCAATGTTCACCGCCATCTACAGCGCTTCCGTCGGCAGCTCGGAAACTTCAAAGCTGCCATCGTATATCGGCAAGGCGGCAGTTGCTGCTGGCTTGCCTCAAGCCACATTGACAGAGTTCGTGCAAGCCATGCTCAGCAAGAACGCAGCCGCCCTCGAGAAGCTAGGGACACCTGCCATCGTTGCCGCAGCACAGAAGGCTGTCCTCCAGGCGCAGGCTGATAGCTTCCGCATCGTGTATATCATTGCAGCACCGTTCGGGTTGGTCGCGGTCATTCTGTCGTGGTTCATCGAGGATATGACGACGCTCATGACATACCATGTCGATGCGCCGGTTGAGGTGTTGCACGCCAAGGGCTGGACTGAGGATCGCAGGACTCAAGAGGATCATAGCCAGTGAAGATCGACCGAGCGAGAAAAACAAGATTGGGTTTGCAGTGTCATGGATTTGCAGTAGTGATCGACGAGGCATGGGTTCTGCGCGGGTCAGGGCGATGCTAGCAGGAACGCAAGCGATGCATCGAATCAACTGTGCACCCAAGCGAGGTCCCACCAGCCCACTTCGTCTTCCTGAGAAGTGAATGGGGGCCGGAAGCGCAAAAGCTGAAGCATAACATAACACTCAGGGACAGGCCGTTTCTTGGCGCGCAGCACCCGGCGACGAAAACACCCAGTCCGGCGAAAACACTGCGGGCGCCAGCCCATGGCGCTCCGCCTCCGCACCATCCCTGCACCGCTCACGCGCTCTGTGCCTTCATTCGCCTCCGAGATCCCAGTCTTTGCATCGCCAGGGTGCTGGGGCGAGCCGGGCCCTCTTCCCGGCGATCGCTGCAACGTTCAGAGGGCCCGAGCGCGAACAACAGATCCACCCAAGAAGCAAATACAAAAGGTGCATCTCGCTTCTCCTTCTACCCCACACCACATCCACAACAACTGGCAGCGCCCATGGTCGCCGCCCTCCTCCTCTTGGCGCCCAGCGTCGCTGCATTCGGCACCATCAATACGGGCGGACAGCAGGCAGAGCATGAACGCATCACCCGCATCGCACTCCAGTGTCCCGACGGTGTGTACCACGATGACGGATCGTGTTTCGAGCCCATCTCGATGCTGTCCTTTGCGGGCGGCAATGGAACATTCGGCGCAGTGGGTGCTCCGGACGGCGGGGCGGATACACTCAAGTCGCAGGCGCACTGCGACGACGCCGACTACATTGACTACGCCAAGTGGGGTCTGAACGGCACGTATCCGCAGAGCAAAGCTGAACGGAACCGCAAGCTGCGCGAGTGCTACGAGCACCTGAAGGGACACTGGGACGAGGGCATTAAGGGTGCCGCGGAGCTCGTAGACGACTACGGTGCGCTGGTCGAGAAGGAAGCAAAGCTCGCCGATGAGAACGGCAAGGGGATCCCGTGTGTCTACTCTGGCAGCCTTAGTGGGCGCGCAAAGTGCGACGCCTTCGAGGGCCTCGGCCGATCGCTGCACGGCCTGCAGGACTTCTACTCGCACAGCAACTGGGTCGACTATGCGCAAATCACGCCCACGCAGAACACGCCCCCGGGACTGGGCATGACGGATCTCGCACCCTTCCTGTCCATGACCAACGGGTCAGGTCCGAGCGACACCAACGTTCCCTCCGACTTTAGCACGGGCTGCTTCATCCTCTTCGGGCACGACACGGTCGAGGGTGCGGCGGCGTGCGAGAAGGACGGGCGGTACATCACCCACGTCGTGCTGAACAAGGACAAGGGCGAGATCATCGTAAAGCCGCTCGCAAACATCACCATCGACGCGGGCACGACCCTGACGGGCGAGGCGCGCACGCCCCGCGGCAACATTAGTGACAACTTTGAGCGTGCGGTGCATGGCGCCGTCCTCGAGTCGCGCCGGCAGTGGGCCGACTTCCGCCAAAAGCTCATCGACACGTACGGCCCGACCCGCGGGCGGCTCATGATCTGCGCCTTGACGCGCGACCAGCCGCAGCGTGATTGCGGAGGTGGGCGCAGCGTCGCTCTCGTGCTTGACGGTAGCTCTGCCGCAGGTGTCGGCGACGCCCTGAAGAACAAGACGCAGTCAACAGACCGAGTCGGCGTCTTTGACGGGCGCGGGGCCTTCTCCGCCTTTGGCTCAGACGCCAAGCTCGAGAGCCTGCAGGGCGGCAGCCTGGCGAATGGACTGCGACTGGCCGTTGACACCCTGAACGGCACGAAGACGGACCACATTGTCCTCGTCTCGTCCGAGGACAGTGCAGACGTGATTGAGCACGTTCAGGCCGCCAAGAAGAAGGGCATTCGGGTTAGCTATGGCCTGCTGACCGAAAAGTCGAAGAGCCGCCGGTCGCTGCGGTTCTGGCGCCGTGCCGATCCGCCCCAGACCGCTGTCGCGGCCGCTGTTCTCAGCACGGGAGGCACGTACGCTGTCCTCGCCGACAGTGGGCAAAAGGGCACGTTTGCGCAGCACGTGTTTGCCTGGGACGAGGGTAGCAAGACCAACCTCCCTCGCGGCCTCATCGTGTTTGACGACGGAGACCGTGACTGGTCCCACCAAGTCGAGGACAAGCGCAACGTCAACGTCACCGTTACTGCCTACAATGGCTCGGCAACCGCCGTGCTCCGCGAGGACGACAAGGAGCGCGCACGCGGCAAGGGGTCCACTGTCAGCCTTCAGGCGCAGGGTGATGACTCGACTGTCGAGGCACGCGTCGAGCCTGATGGCCTCTACTCGATCGCCCTCGACTACACCTCTGCTGCCATCAAGGCCACTTCCAGCCTGGTGGGGCCCGTAGCCGCCGTTTCGCTCGCCTATCTCTTTCTCTAGTTCAGTTGTATAAACAAGGGCACCGTGGACATGTTACATACATTCGTTACCGTTCGTAACTATCTACTAATCGAGACCCATCACACACGCTCGACCCAGTCCGTCTCCGCGTGCTTGTCGTCGTGGTCGTGGACCTTCTCCTCGGAGCCCGACATGCTAGGCAAGCGTCGAGGTCCAGCAAGTACCTGCGTAATCTCCGCCTTGGCAGTGAGGTCGTCGCGTGCAGTGTGTCCGCCAAAGACGTGGTCCATCTGCTCGAGACTGATGCCCTTGGTTTCGGGCACACAGAAGAGGGCCCAGACGCCGCCAAGGAAGCAGAACACGCCAAAGAAGATGAACACGCCGTATCCCGTCCCACTGACGAGTGGTGGCGTGATCAGGCCGACGATGAAGTTGCTAAACCAGTGTGTACACGTTGTAAGCGCGACACCCTTGGCACGGCGACTGCTGGGGAAGATCTCGCTAGGCAGTGCCCAGGGGACAGTACCCCAGCACATCCCGAATGGGATCATCCAAAAGATGATGAACCCGACACCGACCCAGGCCTCGACGCCGTGGTGGGCCCAGTCACCTTGGCCACGCGAAATCATGCCCGCGACGACAAAGTGTGACACCGTCATGCCGATAGCTCCCGCGATCAGCGGCTTCTTTCGCCCGATGTAGTCGAGGAAGAAGATGGCGGGGATCACAGCGACGAGCTGGGACACGTTGAGTGCACCGCTGAGCGTGAGCTGGAGCTCATAGTCGAGGCCGAGCTGCTCGAAGAGCGTCGGCGAGTAGTAGATCAACGCGTTAACGCCCGAAAACTGCTGGAAGAACATGATGGCCATTCCGATCAACGTGCGTCGAATGGCGCCCGGCTTGAACATGTCTGCCCAGCTCGCAATCTCGAGCTTGAGCTGCTGCCCGAAACTGTCGCCCTGCAGAGTCGGATGCCGGTTGATCAGTGCCTCGCGGTTGCGGCACGCTTCGGCTCGGATCTGGAGCCACTCGGCCTGCAGACGGGGGTCGGTCGTGGGGAGACGGCGGAGGCGAGACAAAGACGCCAAACACTCGCCGTCGCGGCCCTTCGACGCCAGCCAGCGGGGCGAGTATGGGAAGAAGAGGAGCGCGACCGCGAGCGGAAACGCGGGCACCATCTGGATCAGGAACGGGAGGCGGAAGCACCACTCGCCAACAATGTGCCGCGTGCCGTAGGTGATGTAGTACATGACGACAATGCCGAGGACGATGGCAAACTCTTGGAGCGCGAGCATGGCGCCGCGCACGTTGGGCGGTGCAATCTCAGAGATGTAGGTTGGCGACGTGGTCGAGAGGACGCCGACGCCGATGCCACCGATAAATCGACCGACGATTAGTTGCGCGAGACCAAAGGACGCCGTTTGCAGAGTCGAGCCAATGATGAACCATGCCACGCCAATGGCGATGGCGACCTTGCGCGACCACCTATCCGCCGTGAAGCCAGCCATGAGGGCGCCGATGAACGCGCCTAGTTCGAGAAGCGCAGTCATGACGCCCTTGTTCAGGCTCGCCGAGGAGGTGACGGCGGGGTCGACCTCGGGGAACTGCTTGAGAAAGCCGGGCATGACGAGCGTCACGGATACGAGACCTTGGTCCTGCCGTCAGCGCGAGCCGGTGACAGAACTCACGAATCCAAAGAGGAGGCCACCAGTCGTAGCACACAGCGAGCACACGAGTGCGACACGGTTCTTGAGTACGTCCACAATCCCGCTTCCGCCGTATGCGCGCGCGAGCCGGGCGGGGTCGCTAGCGAGCTCGATCGCCTCGGGCGACAGGGTCACGCCAAAGTCCTCGGCGGGCTGGAGGTGTTCCCTGTCGGGCGCGTGCTGTCGTTTCCTTGTCGGTGTCGTCGGTGCGGACATGGTGTGTGTAGCTGGGGACGGGGCTGCAGCTGCGGACGCCCGCCGCCCTTATATACGACCCCTCTGGTGGATGCAATGGCGTGTGAAGGCATGAAGCACTAGCGGCTAAGCTTCGGCGTGGTCGATGGAGTGCGCTGGTGCGGATGGGCTCTTGGCCCCACACGCTTCCGATCGCTGCGGGCGGCGCAGACATGCGCGACAGCGGCCTGGCCATGCCAGCCCGCAAATGGCACGAGGAACATGTGCCTCTTCCGGTACGGCGCCGGGAAAGGGAGGGCGATCAGATGACAGAAGTCTGTTGTTGAGTCATGTGCGTCTGTACCCATTCTGTTGGGCGGAGACCAGTGGAGCGGGACGACTCGATCGTACTCTGTATAACAATGGCGGAGGAACAATAGGTGAGCCAGACATCTGGCCCAGCCGTCTCAGGCGGCTCAGATCCGGCGCCGAGGCGCATGAACGCAAGAGCCGTGCACCGACGCGTGTCAGATGGTGTGAGACGGCTGGAATAGTCAGATGATCGGAAGAACGGATGTGTTAGTGGATGACGACGTCATGGTGATAACAGAGTTTGAATTGTTCCTCGACCTGTTAAATTCCAAGAAGTCCCTCACATTCGGAAGATGCGGACCGAATCAACAGCGCGTGCTTCCGGTCACGTCTGCACGGCGATCTCCGGTTCGTTGACATGCATGACCACCTCCGTATCTGGTCTCGTGACGATTCTTGCGCATAAGCAGAAGACTCCCATCGTACCTCGACGGACAGACGAGTCTGGCAACATCCCAAAAGGCTAGCGGGCAACTGACAGATCAGCCGCGGTGCACAGACACTTGGCGCCGCCTACCCAGTGGGTCGCACTGGCGCTCCCGCCATCAATGCCTATCTACAGTTCATGCGATGTCTATTGTCTCTAAAGATCCCGTCTCCTAATGCGACCCCGTCACATCCTGGCCCTCGCGTCGCGCGAGTCGACGAGGGGTTTCCGGCCGATGCGCTCCCACTCCTCTTGCACGAGCTTCTTCACGTCTCCGCGCACAACCTTCTGGCTCGGCGTCCATGGCATCTTGTCCACAATGACAGCGATATCTGGTCGCGCGCAATAACGGAGCTTGGGCCAGGCCGTCTCGGCGATCTCACGAGGTGTCGCCTCGGCGCCAGGCGCGAGTGTGACGGCTACTCCGACGCGCTCGCTCATCACTTCGCATGGCACGGGAACGGCGCACGCCTCCGCGACCCTCGGGTCAGAGAGAAGAGCGCGCTCAACCTCGGCACTGGCAATGTTCTCGCCGCCGCGGACAATGATCTCCTTGGCACGGTCAACGAGGTGCAGGTCGCCAAACTCATCGATGAAGGCAATGTCGCCCGTGTCAAACCACCCACCCTCACGGAAAGACTCGGACGTCGCCTTCGCGTTGCCGACATATTCCTTCATCAGCGTCTGGCCGCGGCACAGCAGTGTCCCCGTCTCCCCTGGGGGCACCTCGTTCCCTGCAGCGTCCACCACCTTCAGCTCCGTCACGGGCAGCACCTGTCCCGCACCATGCGGCTTGTCGAGGTACTCCTGTCCCAGGAAACCCGTGTGGAAACCGCTCGTCTCCGTCATGCCCCATCCCGTGGCAGGGATGAGCTTCGGCCACCGCTCAACAAGGTTCTTTGCCAGGTCAGTCGGCGGGGTCGCGCCGCCGTATGCGACCGTCTCGAGCTGGTAGTCCTTCGGTACGAGGGGTGACTGCAGAATAGCCGTTGCGACAGCGGGCACGCCACCAATCTTGCCAACGCTCTCCTCGACCATGAGCTTGACGGCCATGGGCACAGACCAGTGACGCATGAACACGAGCTTGCTACCATTGTGCAGCGCGAGAATGAGCCACGACAGGCAGCCCTGAACATGGAACAGAGGGATGGACAGGAGTGCACTCCCGTCTCTCGGCGCGATAGCTTTCTCGGCAGCCACAACGGGGTCAACTCCCTCGCGCAGCTTGTGTCGTGCTGTCTGGTATGGTGCCGAGTGAATGATGTGAAGCGCCTGTCGGTGCGTCACTAGCACGCCCTTCGGTAGGCTGGTCGTTCCGCTCGTGAAGAAGATGATGCCGTCGCTTTCTGGCCCGACTGGCGGGGGGTTGGTCTTGATGCGCTCGACCGTCGCCGGATCGGCGCGCAGGCTGGACATTTCCTGTTATCAGCAACGCTATAGGCTATACTCACAGTGATACCTGTGCGGTCCTGGAGATGATCAATGGGCGACCAGCACCACGTCTCCCACTTGCCGGCAAGCTGGGCAGCGAGCTTGTCATCGACGAGGGTGAGATGCGGTTTCGTGAGTTGGAGGCAGTGCCTCTGCGCATCGACGTGCAGCCCATTGTTTAGCAGCACGGGCACACCGCCAGCGAGACAGACAGCGAGGAATGAGACGACCCAACCCGTGCTGTTTACTCCGCCCACGGCCACGCGTGTCCCAGCCCCAATCCCATGCTCGGTAAGCACGGCGGCAAGATTGACGGCCTTCTCATACGCATCCGCAAACGTCACGGCCTCGCGCGCCTCGAACGGTTCTGGCGCCGCGATTGGTGTGCTCAGAAGCTGCTTCTGCCCCCACTTTGGCATGTTCTCGTTAATGAAACGGGGAAAGGAATAGGGCGTCTGTCGTTAGCCTCGTCCATAGGACGCACTCACATTCTTCCATACTCGCAGGTCACGGCCGTTGACGTTGACCCGCTCAGTCTCGAACGGAGAGCCGGGGTAGGTCAGCAGCCTGTCGCACTCGTCCACGCCGAGGAGCGGCTTCGCGGGTCTGAGCAGCGGGACCGTCGGCCTGAGCGCTGCGGCTGGGCGGAGGAGCGGCCGAGTCGCTTTGAGTGCCGGGTGAAGCATGTTCGATGAAGAAGTGAGTGATGGGAGGAGCAATGATGGACCGCGGGAACTTGGATCCGCGGGGAGGGCTCGCGGGGCTCACGACGGCCCCGGATAACGCATGGATGGTCAGGTGCCCACCTCGTGATGCTGCCCACCTGACCGAGAGTGGACATGGGAAGTGGAGGTGGAGGTGCTCCGGAACCAAACAAAGCGGGGTCCGTTGCTCCGTCCACGGAACAAACAACTTCGATAGCGGGCTCGCTTCAACTTCGCATCCTTCTCTCGTCGACCCCTGTCCCCCACCCTGCCATGTAGACGACGCCCAGCATGTCCGATCGATGTCAGTACGTCGCTCACGACAGGCAAAGGATGATACATGATCTCGAGATGTAAGAGACGTCATACTGAACCGGAACCATGAACCTCATGCACACTCCAACCAACCTCTACTCGACAGCCGCAGTCATGAGCGACTCGACGCAGCACTAAACGAACTTGTCAACCTCATGAACCTTGGGCTTGCGGAACTTCTCAGCGAGTGCGTGACCCTGCGCAATGGTGCCAGGCTTGGTGCGAGGGGTACGAATGCGTTCGCCGGGATACCATTCGCGAAGGTTGATCGCGATGAGCATGACGAGGACGAGGAAGTCGGCGACGCCCTCGATCCCGTAGTATGCTCCGCGGGAGCGAATGGGCGCCGCTGGGTCGGGGGTGAAGATTTGCACGACACGGTAACAGCACACGAGCATCGAGAGCACCATCGCAATGAGCAAGTAGATCGTCTCGCGCGTGCGCAGCTTGAAGGCAAAGTGCGTCACGATCAGTGCGATCAGGTTTGTGCCCACCGTGCCCAGGGCGGTGACGTACATGGCCCTCCAGAGGGCGCGCGTCATGTAGTCCTTGTACGCGCGCGGGTTAATCTTGGCCGCGACGGCGATACTGAGGATAATCGAAGTAAGAATGGACAAGTATCCGACAGCGACAAAGGGATAGATCCACTTCGGATGGTTCGGCGCCGGAAGCGTCGTCAGGACATGTCGCCGCCAGAGGTCGAGCAGAGGGAAGAGGAGGAGCGCAAAGCTGACCGAACCGAGGGCGTTCTCGCCCGCTTGCTGTCAGCGAGTTCAGGAGGCCACTCACCAAGCGTGTGCACGTTATAATTCACCACACTCATGACTGCCCGCGTCACATACAGTGAGATGCGCACGCCGACGAACAGCGACGGGCGGAGCAGCAGCCATGTCCGCGACCGTTTGCTGATGATGCGGTACAGGAGGACAGGGACAGTCATGCCGTACTGGCGTTAGAGCTCAAGTCATGGCGGTATCAGCTCACGATGACGGCGAAGAAGATACTCGGTCCCAAGTCGATCTTTTGCGGGTACCCGCCAGTGAAGTTGAAGGCATCGAGCCAAACGCCCGGAGGAGGTGAGGACATGGTGGGAGGGTGATGCCTAGGGGACGTCGAGAGAGTTCCCGTCCGGGCTGCAGGCTATATGCTGCGGTGAGTCCCTCTGCACATTACTAAATCGCGCTTTGGGGACAGCTGACAGGTGGCTAGCGGCCTCTGGACCGAGCCGAGCCTCGCGGGCGTTGGCATGCACACATTTCTGTACTTGTCTGGATTCGATCGTCACGGTGACGTCGTCGGTGCGCGTAGAGGACGGGGGCGCGATTGACTAGGATGAGGCTTGGTATCTCCGCTGCATAGCCAGCCTGCTCGACCACGTCCAGCTCAGTGACAGATTGTTTGTTCTAGATTGGTCTTGGCGGGAGCCAGTGCTCAATCGCCATGTGCGTACGCAATTGCGCCAGGGCCGCGACCCAATCTCAGCGTTGGGGTGGGCGGCCGACGGTAGCGGTTGTCAACTGCTTCGGGGACTGTAAGTCACAGCATACCTATCACCTCAACATCCCTGGTCCCAATCTCCCAGCAGTACTACTCGCGCCTAGCTCGTGGATTCACTTGCATTGATTGTTACTTCTGACTTCTCCTACTCATTTGCCTCCATCAGACAACCGACTTGCCGCTGTCCCTTCCAAGCTCCGCAACGTCCTCGACCATGACGATGTCGCCCTTCTCCGAGTCCTTCTCCGATTCGACACGTGTCTTCTCCTCGATACGTGCCTGGACACGGGCGTGCATGTCCTCGGCAGCGCGCTGCCTCGCCTGCTTGCGTGGATAGTCGAACAGGAGTGTGATCTCCTCGAGACTCATGCCGCGCGAGTCGATGAGGAAGAAGTAGAAGTACACGAGGAACGCCGCGTTGATGGCAATGTACAGGATGTAGTACTTCCAGGCGATGGCCTTGAACGCAATGGGGTTGACGAACTGGTTGAATCCGTTTGCAAATGTCTGCACGGCTGTAAAGATGGCCAGTCCCTTTGTGCGAAGGTGGAAGGGCATGATTTCAGTGCAGTAGTGGAAGGGAAGGGCCATCCAAGCAATATCGTAGAAGAAGAAGAAGATGAAGATGAACGGCACGGTCGGAATACCAAAGCTCTGCTTGCCGGCCGCGAATGTCGCCGACATGCCTGTCACGATGGCGATGGCACTGATCATGCCGATGCCCGAGATGAAGAAGGAAACCCGGCGCGAGATACGGTTCACCTGCGTCGCGGCGAGCTCGCACGAGAGCAAGTTCCAGAGCGCGAGCCCACCGTTCAGGGACGTCGTCTGCTTCGGATCCTTGATGCCGACACTTGCGAGGATGGGCGTGAGGTAGTAACCGAGGAGTCCGGATCCGGTCCAGTTGGTTCCGCACGCCATGAGAATGGCCATGACGATGCGGCGGCGGTTACCCTTGGTGAGCGAAGGCAATGTCGCCCGTGTCAAACCACCCACCCTCACGGAAAGACTCGGACGTCGCCTTCGCGTTAGATGAAGAAGGAAACCCGGCGCGAGATACGGTTCACCTGCGTCGCGGCGAGCTCGCACGAGAGCAAGTTCCAGAGCGCGAGCCCACCGTTCAGGGACGTCGTCTGCTTCGGATCCTTGATGCCGACACTTGCGAGGATGGGCGTGAGGTAGTAACCGAGGAGTCCGGATCCGGTCCAGTTGGTTCCGCACGCCATGAGAATGGCCATGACGATGCGGCGGCGGTTACCCTTGGTGAGCACGAGATCGGTCCATGCTGACTTGTGCTCCTCGCCCTCTGCCTCGAGCGCGGCGCAAATTTCGCCATACTCGGCCTGCACGAGGGGGTCGTCCACCTTGCCGTTCGCATGGTACTTGGCAAGCACGCCGAGGGCTTGCTCGTTGCGCCCCTTGTTGATGAGGAAACGCGGAGACTCGGGGCCCGTAGACGTGATCGCGATGACGAGGACAGGCGCGAACAGCTGGAACATGCATGGCATGCGCCATGCCCAATCGTTTCCGATGTACAATCCGGCCAGGCACAGCCATGAACTCAGTGCGGAACCCAGGAAGAACCAGCCGTAGTACGACGACGCGATGAACGAGCGCAGACGCGGGTGCGCAATCTCGTTGAGTAGGGCCGGAGCAGCAACCAGCCGTTAGTGTGTCTCGGGATGTTGACGCTTACCTTTGTGATGGCACCGCCGGCTCCAATAAGCACACGGCCGCCGCAGAACACGCCCGTGTTCTTGGCGAGGGCGTTCACGATGGTCCCGATGATGATGAGGGCAGACCCAATGCCAACGGTTGGCTTGCGGCCGTACCGCATCGAGACCCAGGAGCCGAAGAAGGATGCGATCAAGCCGGGGAAGTACAATGACGACGCAATCAGGCCCAGCTTCGTGCCCGTTGGCGTATCAAAGTATGCGTTCCACTCGGGGATCGCCTGTAGCGCTGCGAGCAGTGCTTGATCGTAGCCCAGGTAGAAGACACAGAGACAGCACCCGGCACAGTGCAAGACATTCTGCCGCAGAGACTTGTCCCTCCACCAATGCCGGTGCGTGTTGTTGGGTAGCGAGAGGAGGTGGTTAGCACTGGTCATGGTGCGATGGAGAGCAGGCGTGCGTCACAGGCTCCTCAGCAGTACATATAAGTAGAGACGCCGGGTGAAGCTTGCAACGGCACCTGCTCTGTTGCAAAGTGGGCAAGACGGTAATGAGGACGGCCAAAGCCACAGCGAGGCAAGGGGAAGCTCAGCGCACGGCTTAAGCGTGCGGGTCAGTTACGAGCGGGCCAAGCACCATCTCACTTTAGGCGTTCATGAGGCTGGAACGCCCAAAGGAATGAAATGATGGCGGATGACGGCGCTTACGACATGTGACCTGGTACTGTGGACGATCAATAGAGTTCGGCTGGTCGTAAAGCACGGCACGATCGGATATCGGTTACTTGATTCCTGGCTGGAAAGGGCCTCCGCCGTCAGTGGCGTGCGGACACATCCGAACGATCGGACCTGACATAACGAGGAACGATGCCAGAAAACAGCGGCCCAATGTGGGCAGGTGGGCACTCCCGCCAATAACATTGGTTCACGGAGTGCGGGGCAACCCGCAGTGTGCTGGGACTTCTGTGCAGTTCTGGCTAATGCACGACTGGAAGTTGAACCGCTGGGTCATGCAACGATGTAATGGCATTGGGCCCCGATCCGGGGAACGCGGTGGCGTTCACAGCCGACCCTGTGACCCTGATCGACACCAGGATTACCAGAAGAACAAGAGAAGACGGGCGTGTGTGAGACAGCCTGCAGACACCAGAGGCAGTTCTGTCAGCGATGGACTGGGCATCGAACCCAGGAGGGAGTACGGCGATGCCTTGCAGTCCATGATGTCGTAGTCCTCGCACAGGGTGGGGCCGTGCAGACCGCTTCCGACGTCCTGTACAGTCATCTCACTCCCTGAGCAATCACTGATGGATTACTGATCGAGAGTGAGCAGAAGGCGACGGCAACGGCAGACCGTCGGAATTCCGACGCCGGCGCCGATCTTCGGCAGCGCCCATTGCCGAGCATCGGTCTGATCGTATAACGGTTAGTACACAAGATTCTGATTCTTGTAATCTGGGTTCGATTCCCAGTCGGACCTATCCAATCGACGTGGTAGAGGGGTTGAAGATGCCGCGAGACTGAGAGTTCCGGCCCTTTTTGGCGGGAGGAATGTGCAAAGAAGTCCGCGCCTGATGCTGGACGAGAGATCCGATATTCTGAGATGCCGGACCGGAGCATACGCTGTACGAACCCACTAGAGTTGAACCGCCGCCGCCGCCGCCGCCGCACATATCGCTCTCACACCACGATCCGGTGATGTGTATGGTTATTGCTGACATACGTCGGGCGCTGCAGCGACGCGCGAGGAATCAGCCTCGGCTGGCTCAACCGACAAATGGTCCTTGTGGTCCGCATGGCGGGCATCCGGGTCTGTGACGACAGCTACACTCGAGTCAGAGTAGCTGCGCCCTTTCGCACTCTTTGCGCTGCGGGGCGAGCAGGAAGATGGTGACTCGGACCCCCCGGTCGAGGCGCACAAGCTCGGCGCGGCGCACAAGCTCGGCGCTTGCGCCGACGATGTGAGAGCGGATTCGCGGGGTAGGATAGTACCAGGGTCGTGCAGCTGTCCTTTGAAGTCGACAAGCACGGTGCGCGTGGAGAGATCGTTGGGGTCTACGACGAACCCCGGCCAGTACCGCTTCTTGTCCTCTTCGCCCGGTCCATAGCGCTCGACAAGCATGTGAACCTCGTCGACCGGATACGCACACCGGTCGCCTGTTTTGAACCACTCATCAGTGTCTAGCTTGATCCAAAGCCGATCCATGCAGCCAAGGATCATCTGCTCGCGGCGCTCCGCATCCCATGTGTCCAGGCGGCGGAGGGCTTCGATCGAGTTCGCCGCAAACAGCGCGCGAGCCTAGTAGTCAGAAAAGGCTCTCACGTAGAAACTCAGCCTTCAAAGAAGTACTTACATCCTTGACAACCTCTCTGGCCACTTTCCGAATCCACTTGTGCCACTTGTCAACACTGCGTGCAACGGAGCGATCGTCCTCTTCGGCGTTGTTTCGTAGTATGTCAGCTCTGACATCTAGTCAGCATAGGTACCAGTGGATTGCAACCCCAACTTACAGCTCAAGAACAATGTCAAGGACAGCTGCCGAAAAATCCGCCTCGTCAATGGAAGCTACATGGCCTTCGCGGAGCGCTTTGGCGACGGCGCGACTGGCTCGCTGGGCGACGAAGCGGATGGTTGTGTACCAGTTGGCATCACGCATTCCGGGAGCAAAGTAGGAGGCTTGGGGCCACTGGCTGCGAGGGAACGATGGCTCGTATTCGATGTAGGACATGATGATGTTTGGGGCCAAGGTCGAGGTCGAACTCGGGGCTGAGGTGAGATGGGATGGATGGGATGCAACTGAGTGCGAGTGATGTGAAGGCGCAGCGTATAGCCGAGGTGCTCAATGTTCAGCTGCTAGGTGCAAATGAGTTGGGTGCGGTGAGAGTGGAAGTGGGCGGCGATGAGCCGCGGCAGTGCAGGCGCAGGTCGCTGGTGTTGCGAGTTCACTTAAGGGTGCGAAGCCAATGCGGTTCCCTCTAACTCTCTTTGCCGCGATCCGCTATCAATGGGTGGGTGCGCGTAGTAAACCCCGAATTGAACTGGCAGTGCATGTTGTAGATTCGGAAGGAGTGGAACGGTCATATTTCGGCATTTGATTGTTTGGTTCCAGGCACGCCTTCCCTTCCCACCGCCCAGCGGATGGAGGCATTCCTCATGCGATCAAAGGAGACAAACCCTAGGACCACAAGGTAAACTCTCAGATCAAATTATGGGAGAGCCATTTAAGTGACGGGCCAGAGGGGCTTAAGCTTCAGGCGCCGTCTATGAGAGCCAATGTGGCTTATACACTGCGATGCATATTCATCTTGGAACAAAAGACTGGTCTTAGTACGGGTACTTGGTGGGAGAGCCCGTCTCCGCAATGCGCTTGTTCTGGCGCTTGAGGATGAACCGCAGGGCCCAAGTCGCAATAATGGTCATGAGCGAGAAGACGGCCATTGCACTCATCGCGATGGTGTACCGCGGCTTGTCATCGTCGCGGAACAGGTACGGCGTGTAGATGAAGGAGCCCGTGCCGATCGAGGCCATGAGGGCCATAACAACCGCCTTCTTCTCCTGCGTCTGGGAACAGACCGTCGCGGCCCACCCGAGCAGGATCGAGTTGACGCCGTACGTTCCCACGGAAAAGACGACCATGGCAAAGTAGCGCACTCCCGTGTTGAGCGTCGCTGGTGCGAGGGCGAAGCCAATGATGGCGATGATCTTGCACACTGTAATGTGCCAGGTGCGCTCGTTGTGCTTGCCGCTGGACCAGGAGATGTAGAGGGTAAAAGCGCCCGCGAGCAGGTACGGCGGGCAGATGAGGCAAAGGGTAATAATCTGTGAGAAGCCAAGCGTGTTGACGACGCTGGGCATGAAGTTCTTGAACCCGTTGGCTGAGAGGTGCATGTTGAACGCGAAGATGAAGATCCACACGCGGTAGTCGCTGACGGCCTGCTTGAGACCTTGCCAGGGCGAGCCCTTCGGACCTTCGTCGACCTTGTCGCGAAGCAGTCGGTCGGTGGCAAGCACGCGCTCCTCGGGAGAAAGCCAGCGCGTGTTGTGAGGCTTGTTGGGGAGGAAGGGGAAGCACATTATCGCTACCAGTCCTGTGACGGCGCCCTGGATGATAAACAGCCACTGCCAGCCGGCATAGCCGCGCTTGCGGTCGAGTTGGAAGATGCCCGCCGCAATCATGCCAGCAAACGCTGTTGCAAGGATGTTGCCGGTATACAAGATAGCGATGCGGGTTGCGACCTCGGTGCGGGTGTAAAAGTTGGAGATGATGAGGAGTGCACCGGGGTAGTAAGGCGCCTCAAGTGCGCCGAGGAAGAAGCGCGTCATGAGGAGACCGACGTAGTTTCTCGCGAAGGCCGTGCACACGCTCAGCACCGCCCAGGTCAACATGATAGCACACAGGTAGTAGCCAGGATGCAGCCGCGTGATGAGCATGTTCGACGGCACGCCGACAAACACATATCCGACGAACAGAATCGAGACCGCCGTCTGGTACTGCACGTCGCTAAGACCGAGATCCTTCTCAATGCTCGAGAGCTTGGCCAAGGCAATCGCATTTCGGTCGAGGTAGTTGAGCCAGTACATGCCCCACAGCGAAGGCTGCTGTCAGCTACGTCAGAGAACGCAACTCACCATGATGTACCAGTCAAGCTTCCGCACTAGCTTGATCTCGGCAGGATCAGTCTTCTGCGTGAAGCCAGAGTAGTCGCCGGCCCTCTTGTCTTCCTCGGCAGCCTCGAGGACTGCGACGTCGACGTTTTCGACCTTGTCGTCCTCATACTTCTCAATCGAAGATCGTCTGTCGGGTGAAGTTGTGCGTTGAAGAGTTGGAGTTGTCGTCATGGCTGATTGTTGGAGCAGCATACGCACCTCTCAATGGTCATTTATACCTCTGCCGACTTCAGTGGCCCCGCACACTTCAATCGCGGCCCCGCCAATCTCGGCTCAACCCCAGGGTGGCGCCAGTGGAGAACCCCCTAGTTCCAAGAACACCCCACAATCCTCGGCCCGAGAGTGCCGACCATCCCCCGCAGCCGTTAGTGGGCGACAAAGAGCAAGGACGGGGAGGAAGAGCGTCGCGCAGTCTAGTCCTGGTGGGGTGGGAAGACTTGGCGGACGCCTCAGAGTTCAGAGTTCAAAGCCCAGCCAAGCTAGTTGCTCGATAGGGGCGGCCTGTAGTTGAGCCAACTCCGGACCGGAAGGTTGTGTTCGGACCGTGCTATCTCACATACAGCAAGGAGCACGAGGTGCATCACGAGCCACAGCCAAGTGGTCCGCGTGCCTGGCCACGATAGCCCACAATGCCAAGTGCCAAGTGACTCTGGAGCCTCGGAACTCACATGTTGCAGATCTTCGCTCGAGGTAGCGCAATTCAACGGCACACTCCCCGGCATTCGCTCTTCGAAATAAAGCAGACTTGACAATTGCACGATGATCTGCTGTGAGTTGTTGGACGGCTGTGATTTCGAATATGCCATTGAGCGATCAGTGGTTAGTCGCCGGCGTGGTGTCGTCTACTCGTCGATCGTATCCATCGCGCGGAAGGTGTGGGGCCGCAGTTGCCGGCGCCAAGGGATGCGCGGCTACCTTGATGGTGGGCGGATCTCTTTCACGGACAAGTTGAAGAGGAAGAAAGAAGAGAGATGCTTCAACGGGGTGGACCGCTCACACGACCGATGACCCCTTTTGGTTCCGCTGATGTCCCACGGTTGGCTGGCTGGCGCGGCGGCTCCACACTAAACAATGCAATGCAATGCAACAGACATGTAATGACTCTACAACTCAGATGACGCCTAGATACCACCTCCCGTGAGCTCATCGAGCAGCTGGATCTGGTCGCTCGGCAGCTCGGCCTTGAGGGCATCAATCTCCTCCTGCGGCGCCTCTCCCTCGAGCGACGCGACCTCCTCTGCCGGCGTGGGATCATCGATGATAGCCTCCTGCGCACTGTGGAAAACGCCAAGCACATTCGTGCTATCCTGCTGTCGCACGGCGGGCGCGAGCTTCCAGATGCTTCCTCCGGGCGGGGCAGGGATGGTCTCGAGGGCGCGCTTCGGGTCGCCGAGCCCGCGCTCAGCGCCAAAGTGCATGATGTCGTGAGCCGCGAAGAGCTTCAGCGGCGCGCTTGTCTTGGGCCAAGGCCACTCCTTCCCGGCCGCATACGGAGCGAGGTAGTCGACAGCACGGCCAATGCTCTGCCCCTGCGCACCATGGAAGCCCCAAAGGTCGATACCGAGCCGTGCGGCCATGGCGCACGTGCGGAGGTACGCGACGAGGACAAAGTTGGCGTAGTGCCAGCTGGTTGCGCGCTTGAGCTCGAGGGGCGTGGTGCCGTCGATGGCAATGGTTTGGTCGATGCGGGAGCGCTGCTCGATGACCTGCGCCGTGGCGGCGGCGTTCTGGCCGAGGAACATTTGCAGGGCAATCACCTGCATGAGCGCAAAGGTGCCGTGGTTGTTTTTGGCCGCGAGCTCCTTCTGGCCAAATTCGCTGCCGGTCAGCCAGGAGAGGTATTGCTGGTTCCAGTCCCTGAAGGCGTTGGCGTCCTGCTGTGTCCATGCGCCGTCAAACTTGGTGTTCAACAGCGCCACGGCATCTAGCACGTCCGTGTACACCTGTGAAAAGTCGATGATGCCCTCCTTCCTGCCCGTGCACTTGCAGGGAATCAGCTGTGCATGTTGAAGGTTCGGGTTCATGCGAGTAGGACCATTGATGAACCATGTGCGCAGCACCTCGCCAGCCTTCTGCCGGTAGCGCGCATCGTCGGTGTACCACCACGCCAAGCTGAGATAGTACACGCTGTTGACCATGTTGCTGCTATCCTTACGGTCCGTGTACAGGTCGATTTCGGGGTTACGTTGTCCGTCCCGAAGCTCGTACGGGCATCCCGACGCCGTGGTCGCCCACCAGTAGACGCCCTGCGAAGCATAGTCGTTCCTAGCTGTCAGCTGTGATGCAGAGAGGTGAACTTACGGGGTGCCGTCAGGCACAGCCTTGCGTTTGTTCGTCACCGACCATGGTCCGACGGTCAGGAGCCGGTCCGCAAGTCCCTTCAGATTGCCAAGCTCGCCCTGGTCTGGATTGCCAGCTGCGCGCTGCATGTAGTCGGGGTCAAGGATGACGGTGTTGGGTCGTGGGCGGGCGATGCCGCGGCGCACAGGGCTGGCAGCAGCCAGAAACGCCGACAGAACGATGAGTAGTGGTATGACGAGCATGGTAGGAGATGAAGATGAGTTGACTTCTCGACTGATCATCAACTGCTACTGTTTAAGTACCCCGATGGCAGCCATGACCGTCAACAAGCACGCAGCAGCAAAAGCTGCAAGACACAATTCATAACAGGTGCTGCGGCCAAGAAGGCCAGAGGGCAAAAAGATCCAACTAGGTGGCCGAACCGCGACCATGGCGTCCAGGGATCGAAAAATGAATATCGTTATCGGACCCTCACGTCGGCCTAACGCGTTATGGCGGGCAGTGTGCGTAACGTGTGAGCGGAGAGCGGATGGATGCGGTGTTGTTGTTGTTGTGGTAGGGACTTCTGAACATTCACGCTCACGAACAAGCTTTAGCTCTGGTGAATGCCATCCCTGGGTGCGCCGAGGGCGTAAACAGGCTCAGCGAGGGCTTCCACCGCTCCTCTGTGCCGTGAAGGAACACGTGTGCGCAACAATACGCCTGGAACGGCCCAGCTGATATTCTCCGAAGAGGTCAACATGACAGCGGAGTGGAGAGAGCAATTCATGTCATCGCAATTCGTAACGAGGCCCGCGGCGCCGCCCAGCCACCCGCAAACGAGGGCAGCCCTGCAATGCTCATATGCTCCATTCAGACAGCGTCAGCATGTCCTCAGACGACTGTCAGCAGCATCAACAGGGACATTCCGCCTTGCCCTCGACCGCTCATGTGGGCGTTGCGTCAGCCAACCACAGCTCTGGGACAGATAGTCGCAAGGGTCAGTGCCGATTACGCAAACCCTGGGTCGGATGTTTTCCGATCGCATCCCAGGGCACAGAGGGATGGAGGGAACTGGGAATCGAACACTGACATAGGATATCGGCCGATAGCTGCAAAGCGTTGTGAGGGAGCGATAATCACGCTTGGGCTGGTTGCGGGTTCCGCGGTTTAAAGCTGCACACGACCTCGGAACGAACACAGACGTGAGCACAGAAAGCGATATCAGGACCCAGGTCCCGACCCAGAAGACACAGAGGCACGGACCGACAAATCATAGCGTTACTGCTCCATCGGCGTCACTGTCGTCCCCGGGCACGTTAAGCTCACCGTTGCACAATGCGTACTCTCGTTTGAGTTGTCGGTCCTTCGGACCCCGCGGTCGTTGGAAGTGAACTCTGTTCTTGGAGTGACACCTTCAACTCTCACCACATCTATCTCGCCCAAGGAAGACATCCCAGCACACAGTGCACAACGACCATCCCCAACCGAGCACAGACCCCAGCATAGTGGGTGTTGGAGCATGCGAGGAAGATTTTCGCAGTCTGAAAGGCAGTCTGAGCTTCCTATTCACGAGCGACAGATACAGTTCTCGGCCAGGGTGGGTCCTGCATGTTGGAGTGAAGCTTGTTGCTAAATCGGGGTTATGCAAACGATTTCCTGCGACTTTGAGTTTTGTTGCTTGGAACAGCACTGCAAGCTGCCAGAGCTGACTCCAAGAGCTCGTGCGCAAGGCTCGGGGTGTCCGCCAAATGTGGAAAGGCTACTGGCGGGGTTGCGGGCAAGAGAATCAGGCATAAGCCGCATGAGGCGTTCTCGGTAACCATAAGTAAAATTCCGAACAATCTCCGAGCTCCGAGCGCCAGGACTCGATTGACCGACTCCACAGCCCCGGCCTGCACAGACAAGATGCATTCATCACTGACATATCGCCGTCAACATCGGCCTGACATCAGCACAGAGTCAGTGCTGGAGTTGCCGCCAGGGGTCCGCTCCAATTCGATAACAAGCTCGCAAGAGATGCCTGGTGAAAGCACGGACGCACGAGGGTTTTGACAAAAGTTTTGCGCCGGTAACCCCCCAGTAAGTTTGCGGTAAGCATACGCGAGATTAAGCCACCAAGCCACGAAATTTAACCATGTTATGAGTAAGGAGTTCAATAGAAGTTTGATAACTTGCAGCACGAGCGCCGAAGCGAGGTCCGACCGCAGTGTTCAGATCCTGGTGAGGGGCCAAGCGGAAACGTGGAGACGAGGAGCGCCGTTGGGCACCATTTGTGCACGCTGTGCGTGCGTCGATTGCTGATCGGTGTTCACGTCAGCCGCTGTCTCTGCTGTCAGCATCGCCGACTCAGACAGACGAATAGCGTGCGAGTCACTCCTTATACCGTCTCCGATGTCTTGCAACCGCAAGCAGTAAGCGGAGATCGGCGGAGACGTCCCCGACAATATCTGACCGTGTGCTGAAATGATCTCGGCGTCCACGGTTGCTGCCAGGAACGACCGAATCCGGACCGGAGGGGATCGACGCGATGTGTCGAGCATCCGTATTCCTGCAGATGGGGAGGGCTACCCATCGCCGCACTGATCACCTTAGACCTTTGAACATTTGGAGACAGAAAGCAGAGTCAATGCACATGAAAGTCTGGGTTGCGGCCCAAATCAGACTGCGATGAGGCTACGTCTGAACAACATCCCCGGCATATAGCCGGGATCGATAACTGCCACAGACTCCAAATTCCTGCGTGTGTAACCACTGTAAGCCGGTCAAACCCATGCGATAAGACTGGGGCAACCCATGCGCGCTTCATGCAGTCTTCATGCCGTGGCCCCGTGGGCCACAGTGCAGACTATCGGTTTCGTCCGAGAATCCGGCACGCCACACCCGGTTTCCCAGCTCAAGCTCCACCCGCCGTTCCTCCAGGTTTCAGACCACACACACTGGACCCAGCACCCTCCAGGCCGGCCACAACCTTGACTCTTCAAGAGGCCCGAATCATGAACACCCAACCTTCTCGAATCATCATGTCCCCTTCCCCCGATAGGGTCCGAACATGTGTTCCCTTGCTCAGGAGCAGCACAAGGGAAGTAGGAGAGAAGCTGCCTGTGTGATCTACAGGGCCACTTCATTCGTGCCTCTCCCCTTTCCGATGGATCCGAAAGCTCAATGGACACGGCGTGTGGAGCGATCCAAGCGGATGCCTTTGCCCGGCATGTTTGTAATCGACCACGACTGCCGTAATCCCATCGCAGCCATTACAGCCGAGGGACTAGTGCCACAAGCGCCGCAGGCTCTAGGTCCCACACCGGTTGCTGACGATCCGGGGCAGGGCCACTAGTCCCAAAGCTTACGTCTCGGTTGGGGGAAGGCAAGGGGGAAGGGGCTCGGTGGCGAAAGTTTTCGCCCGTGGAGCAAGGACCCAGGCGCCACCCACTGTCCCTCCCACACCGGGATGTCTTCCCACCAAACTCCAACTCGATGGGTGTGGCTCTCACCCTCGTTTCTCGCTGCCATGTACTCGTCTCACGACGCTTGATGTCAAAATATTCTGCTGGACAGGCTGCACAATCGAAAAATCGCAACGTTTTTGTGATACAAAAATCAGGACTTCATCTCTGGCTTCAGATAAAAAATGGCTAAAGAACTATCATGCGAAGAGAGGAGTGAGGTATTCTACCACAGGGGCATGCGGGCGGTGTTGTCCCAGTCAATGTTTGACTCGTGGCACTCCTGGCGGGGGCGGGTGGTGCCAAAGAGCGTGTCCCAGACGCGGGACTGCTTGCCATAGTTGGATGACTTGCGGTATCCGTGGCGGTGGTGGAGATCGTGGTCCTCGAGGGCGAGCTCGAGGCCGAGGAAGTCGAGCGCCCAGTACAGCGTGCTCGCGGCGGTGAGGTGGACGCGGAGGCCAGAGTGGCCCATGACCTCGGTGTAGATGATGAACTGCTGGCACATCCACCAGTCGTAGAAGCCCATGTTGAAGCCGAGAGCGGTCATCGTCACCCACGTCATGAAGGGAACGCCGACCATGTCGCCGACCTCCTGCGCGTCGTCCGCGTACGCCGACAGAGTCGAGTTCGGGTGCTTGGTCAGGTGGTGGGTGCGGTGGTACTGCCACAGGCCGTTGACGTCGTGCATCATGCGGTGGTAGACGTAGAACCAGAAGTCGAGCACGACACCGTAGACGCCAATCTCAAAGTACGTCGATACCCACCACTTGGGGTCGACCATGACCTTGAGCGGAGAGACATCGCGGTTGTACGTGAGGTAGGTGAAGAGGGCGACGCGGCCGCCGACCGTCTTGAGGAGCGACCAGAAGACCCGTCCGATGCCGACGTCGGGCACGCCGTCACGCGGGTGCTCGCCGTCGAGATAGCCATAGGTGTATCCAACCTTGCGAATCATGCGAACCTCGTGCACAAGCACAAAGATGTAGACGTGCGTGTACAGCAGCGCGATGCCGACGGGGTGCATCGGCCCGAAGAAGTGCTGGTACGCCTGCTGCAGCGCGAATCCAAACCACGAAAACGTCAGGATCCAGATGTGCTGCGTCCATTGGGGCATGTGCGGCACCTTGGCGTCCTTGGGGAACACGGGCGGTTCCACACCAGGCGTCAGCGGGTACACGTCCAGGACGTGCATGAACCAGTGGTACGTGTTCCACTGCGCCTTGTTCCACCACGGCCATGTCATGCGCACACTGTCCTTGTTGAACTCCTTCGGCTTCTCCACCGTGCCGATCTCGGCCTTGGTCGCGTACATGGTGGGCGTGATTTGTCGGCTGTGTGTGATGTGTGACAAGAAACTACAGAAGAAAAGTCAGAAGAATGGACGAGAAGAGAAGGAGGATGGAAGAAAGGGCTTTCGTCAGAAGATGAGCATGCACCGCTCCAGATATATAGCGGACGTCGCAGACTATGCTGTGAGTGAACGAAAGCGAAAGCATGCAAGCATGGGGTTTAGCTCGATATGCTTAGTGCGTTTGGTCATGGGTCCCCCGGATGCCCGGTAATGCCCCGCATCGATGGCTCCGGTCGTAGTAAGTTGGTGCTACGGAACGAAGTAGTCGGAAGGGGGATGGGTGGTGCGGCGTGTGGGGTGTGGGAGAGTGGGTGGTGCTTGGCTGGGTATGCAAGAGAGGAAGAGGCAGAGCTATGCACAAGTGTCTGGTGTTGGTCCCAGTTGTTGACCGGGCATCGACTCGCCCTCATCGCCCGTGCTGCCCGTGGAGTGCAAGGAGAGTGACGTTTAGACGCGGCGCTAGCGATAGCTTTTTCGGGCGGTCGTCGTACCGTCGGATCGTGGCGAGGTCAGACGGGCGATCGCACAACCGACTTGTCAGCGCCAGCACTCAGCCTTCTACGCCGCTGTCGTCAGTCAGTGAGAGGGAGGTCCGGGCCATCGTGCCGGTACTGGGCCAGTGCGGAGCGAAGGCGAGCCCAGATGCGATCGCGGCCAAACGACCGAGTGGCCAAGTCTCTCTGTCGGTGCGCGGTGCGCAGCAGGCAGTCGGGGACGCCAGGGTGTAACACCCGGTCCATCCGGGCCATCCGGAGCAGGGATGCATGGGGACCTGGGGTCGTGGGCGGAGAAGGCGGCGGGGCAGCGGGGAAGGAGCGCGGGGCCTAACTGCATTAGAGGCATGAGAGTGGTGCTAAAGAGGTACTAAAGGGGAGCGTAGTGTCGTTTAGTGTCTTCTTGGTCCTGTTCGGCATGCGGCACCTCGTCTGAAGCCCTCTGCAGCCCTCTGCAGCCGCTGATGCTGTCCAAGTTGTTTGGGCTGCGCTGCAAAGCATAGTACCCACCGAAGCTATCGAAGCTACGCAGCGTACGTGATGCCCGCGTGATATGAGGTATTACCGGTTATGTCTTGTGGCCAGTGCTTTGTGCTCTGGTCAGTGCAGTCGCATGAATGAGGACGTAAGCGTGATGTTTGCACGGTATGCTGGTGTGCACGGTGTCAGCTGACTGCAAGGGGGCGACGATCTGGAGCGACCATTCTTATGTTGCATGAACGCCGGGTTGCCTCGACAGTGTCTGGTGTTGAGGTCGTCGGATAGCATGAAGGGCTCGGCGTGTTCGGGGTTGAATGGCGGCTACCGGTGAAGGGACGAAGCCGATCCGGCAGATGCTGAGGTGATGCTGGCTGCTGACGCGATCCCTATGAGCCACCTACGCCATGGGCTTGTCTTCTCCTTGCTGCAGAGGGTCATTTCTCGCCGTGTCCTGAAGATGGCAGCACGTGGATTCTGGGACCCCACGGCGAATACTCACCGCGTCCCCGGCTACTCCGGCATTCTTCCGGTCCGCACTCCCGCTCAAACCCTTCACTAACGACGCGTCCAACTACTACGACTACTCCTCGATGCACAACGCGGCGATGCGACTAGCGCATACACGGTGGTCGCTGTCACCATGTCCGAGTAAGCTTTCATTGTCGTGCGCTACCATACTCTTGGTACCCTTCGGCACACATCTCTGACACGGCTTCGGTAGCCTCCCCGGGCTCTGGCGGCTCTGGCCGTTTCGGCTTCTTTATCATGGATGATCATTGGACCGCGCCTCCGATTCAACCTTATATACTTCACATCCCGTCCCCATTCTGACGCGACATCCATCCATCCCTCCTTCATCTCCTCATCCTTATCCTCTCCCTCCTCTCCACCGCCCACCATGAACGCTCTCTACGCCGTCGCCGACTCGCCCGTCGCCAAGCTTGTCGATGCCCTCAAGAACTACATCGTTCTCAACCCTGCCGTCTCGGGCGCCCTCCTCCTGCTGCTCGCTGGCAAGGGCCCCGAGGGTCTCCAGGAGAAGCTCCACGAGGTCCTCGCTCACATCCCCTACGATGAGTCGACCATCAAGCTCGCCCTGCAGATCCTGTTCGGCGTCGGCCTCGTCCGCAACGTGAACAGCAAGCTCTCCGAGCTCGCGCAGAACAACTGGCGCTGGGGTCCCGCCCCTGGCTGGAACTGGCCCCAGGAGATTGCCATCGTCACTGGCGGTTCTAGCGGAATCGGCCTCGGCATCACCGAGCGCTTCGCCGCCAAGGGCATCAAGGTCGCTGTCCTCGACGTGCAGGACTTCCCCAAGGCCAAGCTCGCGCCCAATGTCAAGTTCTACAAGACGGACATCACCGACCCGGTCGCCCTCAAGAAGTCGGCGGACCAGGTGCGCCGCGACTTTGGCGAGCCGACGATCCTCATCAACAACGCCGGTGTCACGCGCCCCAGCACCATCCTCGACATCAGCCACGAGTTCCTCAACACCATCTTCAAGGTTAACACAATCTGCCACTGGACGACTGTCAAGGAGTTCCTCCCTGCCATGGTGAAGCGCAACCACGGTCACGTCGTGACCATTGCGTCGGTCGCGTCCTTTGTCCCCCTCCCCGGTGGCGCCGACTACAGCTCGACCAAGGCCTCGGCGCTCGCCTTCCACGAGGCTCTCGGCGCCGAGATCAAGTTTGCCTACAAGGCCCCCAACGTGCTCACCTCGATTATCCACCCCAACTTTGTCAACACCCCGCTGGTTGCCGACTTCAAGCACGTCCTCGACAAGGGTGGCATTGCCTTCCTCACCACGGACCGTGTCGCCGACGACATTGTCAATCACGTTTACAAGCGCAAGTCGGACCAGGTCATCATCCCCGGCTCGTCGACCTTCCTCTCCACCGTCCGCTCCTGGTCCAACTGGCTCCAGATCATTGTCCGCTCCGCCGCCGCCAAGGGCCTTAACGAGCGCGTCTAGGCGCATCCTGCGAACACACAGCGCGAAGCGGGTAGCGAAGCGTGAAGCATGGCTACGCCCCGTGCAAGGCGCCAAGCACCGCGCCGAGCGAAGCACACCACCAGCGCCCTCGATCTCAAGAAGCATTCAAGATCTGGATCTGATTCAGCCCCATCCGTTGTCCGTATTGTAGTCCCAGTTCGTCCTTCGTCTGAAGTATTCCCCTCTTCGTTGGAGAAAAGTATAGCGCGTGAGTTTGACGTACGTTTACCCCGTGTGCATAGATCTCTGTAGATGATACCAGATACCATGCATGTCATTAGTAGTACAACTGAGCGAGCCCGCGTGCACGAGCGTGCTTTAGTCCGTGGGTTTATCGAGACGGGGGTGCGGTGTGGTCACGTGAGTGGCCGTGGCTCTCCTTCGAGTTGGCTAGAGCGCTCCTCTACCTCAGGCATTCCTCTTTCCGACTCCTTACGTGGACAGGTTCTGAGGCCGTAGCGAGGTAGCGAGTGGCTCGACGGCCTAGCAGCCAGCATAACGGCCGATTCGCCTAGCGGGTGTAGAAGAACCAGTCGACGTACTCTCCGTTGTCCTCGAGCTCCCTCTTCTCCTCCGGCGTCCAAGGATGGGCACGGGCAGCGTTGCGCGCAGCCTTCTTCTTGTTTGCGTACCCCGCGTAGAACCACCAAAATACTCCCGTCAGGGCCAGAAGTACCGAAAATCCGATACACACACAGTGGCCCTTAATGAACCGCGGTCCGTCCTCCTTCGGGAACAAGAACGAAGATGCAACACCTCCGCTGTTTCCACTGCACACCAGAATGCCTGTAGCAACAGATTTCTTCAAACTTCCGCCGAAGTTATTCGAGCCCCACGCGACAATGATCGGGAATGCAGGATAGATGCCGCAGGCGCCGAGGAAAAGGGCGAAGTAGGAGACGCCGGTGGAGATGTTGGCGAGGAGGAGGCCGTAGCCGACGGCGCCGACGATGCCGAGACCAATGATAAACGGGGCGCGGACCTTGCACCGGTCACTGGCCCAGCCCATGAAGATCGTGACGATGGACGCAGCGACGTAGGGGGGCACAGACATGAGCTGCGCCGAGGCGGCCTCGTATCCGAGCTGGGCGATGATGGTCGGCGAGAACAGACTGAAGCAGTACAGCGGCACGACGGCGGAGAAGAAGGCCAGGCCGAAGAAGTAGCTCTTCCAGTCGAGGAACGCGTCGCGGATAAACTTCTTCTTGTACTCGCCCGAGCACCCGTCGGTATCGAGTTTGAGGCGTTCCGTGAGCGCGGTGCGTTCAGCCGGGGTGAGGAAGCGCGCCGTGTCGGGGTAGTCGTGCATCATCCAGAAGCTCGCAAACGCGATAAGCACAGTGGCCACACCCTCAAGGATGAAGATCCAGCGCCAGCCCTCCATGCCGGCCGCGCCGTCCATGAGGTTGATGAGGCGGGCGAGGAGACCGCCAAAGGCGCCCGCCACAGTGGCGGCGGAGAAGAAGACGGCGACACGGAGCGAAATCTCGAACCGGCGGTACCACTGAGACAGGAAGAAGGCGATGCCCGGGAAGAGACCAGCCTCGGCTACTCCGAGGATGATGCGGGCTGCGAGGAGGCCGGCAAAGTTTTGCACAAAACCCATCCCGATCATCACCGCGCCCCACGCAATCATGATGATGGGGATCCACATCGAAGGCCTCCATGCCTTCATTACCATGTTTGAAGGCACTTCGAAAAGTACATAAAAGACGAAGAAGCACGCAAGACACGCCGCGTACTGTGTGGACGTCAGACCGAGGTCCTTGGACAGTCCGAAGAGGTTTGCGTTGCCAATGTTGGTTCGGTCCAGGAAGGAGAGGAGATACAGGAGCGAGACCCAGGGGATAATTCGGAGGTCACTGGGCGTCAGCGGTGCTACATGCTGTACGCAGATCAGCCCCCTGCTCGAGGCAAATCGCTCGAAGAAATGGCAGACCAGCGCGATTCCTTCGCGCCCACTTACACTTTGCGCAGCACCTTGCGCATGTTGATGACGGTCGACTCGGGGTCGTACACGCCGTCGTCGGCGGCATCGCTCAGCTTCTCATCGTACCGCACATCCGGCTTCTCGTCCACGGATGGGTATTGGGACATGGTGGTCGTCGATCCCAGGCCGGGCTTGTGGTAAAGTCAGAGGGGTGTGGGGAAGAGATGGTCCGCGAAACTTTGGAGCTAGCGTTATATACGCCGATCGTGCTAGTCCTGGGCTCCCGCTGGGCTCCGCTGGGGTTGCTGCGGGACGCAGTCTTGGTCAGCGGGGCCGATACAGGCGGTGGGATGACGCGCCGACCCCTTGCCGAACTGCCCACACTGGTGCTGGAGCTGGAGCCCGCAACAACAGCCCAGTGGCGAAGTACGCGACCAGACAGTCATTCCTTATCGCTGGCTGTTTGGGTCTGGAAGCAGCTCGTCGTTCAGGTACGCTGGCCGAGTGGGGGAGTCGCGCAACGCCTGCGCCTCGAGTGCGGGTGTCTCTCCACAGCCTCACACCCTTCGGTCCCACAACACTTCAGCTGGAATCTCCCTTTCGGGGTCTATGGCAAGGGTCGGGATGCTGTAGCGTGTGGGGTGCACTGGGGTCCCGTACAGACGACAGGAGCAGAGCTGCCCCGGACTGTGAACCTGAACTCCCCGGACCGGTACTTGCCCCTTTCCGTTCCCTGGACAGTGGAGGTTGGACACGATGAAGCACGTGAAGTTGCGATATGCGCCAGTTCATGCAGTCAAGGGCGGACGCCGCCGTCTGGCCCCTCTGCCCTCGCTCACTCGGCAATAGGACGAACTGGCGAGAGCGTGGTATCCGGGTCGGGGAGCATGGAGCAGATGGAGCAGAAGCGCAGGTCGCATGCCCCCGAGTTGCCAGAAGTAAAGTCTTGGCATACGGCATGGCCCTGGTGTTGTTCATGCTTGCCCACCTGCGGCGTCCAGGTGAGAAATACCGGTATGCCGGAGCCCACGGGTCGATGCAGGGCTCTCGGGCGGGTGCCGCCGGCTGGACGCGGCTATGGTCTGGGGTCAATCCCCGTGGTCGGGGAAACAGCCGTCAAAGGTATCCATCATTTCACGAGCCGACGCTCAAGCCAGCGCCTCCTCTCACGCCCCCCTCCACCTGATAACGCCATGACAGGTGCCCGGCACCTACCCAAGAGGGGCACCAGGTGGGGGCAGCGAAGGACGTGCGGAACAGCTGCATCAGTGCAAGGTGAAATCAGTGCCAGACTCTTCATATGAGCGCCTGATGAACGCCTCTGAGCGACCATTGCGGGCTCCATCGCTCGCTTGCTGCTTCAACCCTCGCCTCGGACTGGATCGTGGGACCAGGAGCATCGGCTGGAACTGAGGACTGTTTAGACGATGCGACGAGTTGCTGGGAGCGGATAAGCAGCATTGGGAATGGCCCTATAGCGGCTCACGCGAGTTAGACGAGGGTGAATTCCAGGTACGCGCCTGAGGTGGAGCTGGACGAGCTGGAGATGGTAAAACCGAGCGTCCGGAGCTCTCACGAGACGCTCCCGACCCTCACCGCTTCATGGGACACCTAATCAGATCAACGTGGACAGCGACAGACAACTACACGCATTTGTAGATCGACTTTTCCGATCTGTAACGGCTTTTCGCACGTGAGTGCCTTTGCCCCTTACCGGACTTGGGCCGCTCCAATTCCAGCAGTACCTCATCTCGTGGAAAACGCTCCGACTCACGCTCCTGTACTTCCGTAAACAGCTCCAACGAACCACTCACAAGCCCTCAAGCACCGACATGAGCCTGCCAGGAATCAGACACGAGCCAAAGATAAACATTGCCGAGCCAACAAACTCCCGCAAACAAACCCGGGACCTGGGGACCCCTGGGCACCATCCTTGCGTCCCGCGGGGGAGAGCGGGGAAGGAGATGCGGCTCAGGTCGCAGCAACAAGGAACAACCGCTGACACATGGTTCGCTGTCGCCGACTCCGATCCTTCCATTACTTTTGACGAGTCCGAGACATTTCGGCCCCGCTGACGTCTGCGAACGCCTTAAAAGGTGAAGATATGGGACACGATACTGATCACACTCACCCACACACACCATGACCGTCACACTCACCGAGAAGGGCGAAGTCTGGCACGACGACGTCGCAGACGTGAAGGAGCTCGACGACGGTGTCGACCGCCATCTCGTCGTGCACGAGCGACCCGAGCTGTCGGGGCTGGACGAGGTCGAGCTCGCGGCTCTCGATAAGCGGACAACACGCAAGATTGACATTCTCATGATGCCCGGTCTCATTCTCCTCTTCCTCCTCAACTACATCGACCGCTCGAACATTGCCGTCGCCAAGGTCGCCGGCGTCGACAAGACGCTCGGTCTCACGACGACGCAGTACAACACCTGCGTCTCGGTCATGTACGCGGGCTACGTCGCGTTCCAGGTGCCCTCCAACATGGTCGCGAGCCGCGTCAAGTACCCAGGTCTGTACATCTGCACGATGTGTGCGATCTGGGGCATTGTCGCGGGCTGTCATGGGGCGGTGCAGAGCTACGGCGGACTGGCGGCGTGCCGCGCCGTGCTCGGCATCGTCGAGGCGGCCTTTTACCCCGGAGCGCTGTACATGATCTCGATCTTCTACACGCGCGAGCAGATGGCACTCCGCGGCGCCATCCTCTGGGCCGGCTCGCAGCTCGGGAACGCGTTCAGCGGCCTCATCGCCGTGCCCATCATCACGCTGAATGGACGGTATGGGCTCGAAGGGTGGAGGTGGCTCTTCATCGTCGAGGGCGTCCTCACCGTCGGCTGTGCCCTCGTCGTCATGTCCTACGTCCCCAACCGGCCCGAGACGTGTCGCTGGCTCACGCCCACCGAGCGTGCCCGCCTGCTGTACCGCCTGGAAGCGAATCGTGGCACCCAAGATGGCACCTCCGAGGTTGGCAACTGGGTCGCCCTCAAACTCGCCCTCACCGACCCCAAGGCTTGGATGCTCGTTCTCATCAACCAGTTCAACTTCATCGCTGCTTCTGTGACATTGTTCTTCCCTGTCGTTACAGCCACGCTCGGTTTTTCGCGTACTGTCACCCTCGTAATCACTGCGCCGCCGTATCTTCTCGCTGTTGTCGTGATGACTTTTAACGGGTGGCACTCGGATAAACATCGGGAGCGCAGTTTCCACATTATAGTGCCGTTCCTGTTCACAATCGCGGCTAACACGATCGCCATCGCGACCCTGAATACGGGCGCACGCTATTTCGCCATGTGTCTCATGCCCGCGTCCTTCTACTCGGCCTCGACGATCGGGTACTCGTGGATTGGCATCAACATCACTGGACCCGCCATCAAGCGCTCCATCATCTTTGCGCTCGTGAATGCGTTTGGATCCACGACCTCCATCTGGACGCCGTACCTCTACTTTGCCCCGCCGAGGTACACGGCGGCTTTTGGCGTCATGCTCGCGGCGCCCGTGTGTCTCATCCTCACCACGCTCTGCTTCCGCCAGTACCTCAAGCGCCAGAACGCCAAGCTCGACCGTGGGGAGGACACGGGCATCCATGGCCCGTCCCTCGTCCAGATCGAGGCTGGGTTTCGCTACCAATTGTAGCTGGTTGGTCGTGTACAGAGGGAGGAAAGGCTGCCAGATTCATCAGAAGGAAGGGCCGGCCGCAGGTGATCGTCTCTCGTGTAAAACTATATGCATTGAAAGGTAACATGTATACTTCTGAACAACTGGCTCTCTACTGCTTCAGCTGCAGCCCAAACAGCTGCTCCGACTTGCGCGCCTGGAGGAGCTGCTGCCCAAACGGTCCAATCTCGGCCTCCGGCAGTCGACGGACCTTGATGTTCTCGTTCCCGGTGTAGTCCCACCCTCCATCGCGGTAGCTCCAGTGCCGGAGGGCGGGGGCGTCGTACGTGCCCTTGTCATTGAGACCAAGGCCCTCGGCGGCAATCCTTACGCGTACGCTGGGATGGATCGACTCGTTTGTCGTGTTCAGATACGTCTCCTTGGGCTGGAGGCTGACGGGGTCGACCTGGTGGTACGTCCCGGGCGTACGTGTGAGCTGGCCGGCAAACTTGTACACAAAGTTCTTGCTGCCCGTGATCGCCCCCAGGGCCCAGGGACGCACGGGCTTGAACTGCTCGTAGATCTCGCGGCTCGCCCAGCGCTTCTCCGAGGGGTGTTTGCGGTACCACTCCTCGATCTGGCCGATGTAGTGTCCCACGGCCTCGGGATCAAACTCGACGCCGACGCTGGCCAGCTGGTCCATCATCCACGCGAGCGTGATGTCGGCCATGCCCTGGTCGGGCTTCCCGCCGCCGACATTGCTGTGGTCCCCGGGGAACCAGCACTGGCGCAAGTCCGTCTTGTTGTTGTCGCCCAGCTCCCAGACCGCAGGCGCGAAGGGTGGACGTACCTCGTCCAGCGCCAGCGCCTGGAACGCATGCAGCATGCTTGGGGCCAGACTCGTGTCGAAGAATTGGTACCACTTGGCGGAAGGCTGGAGGTGAAGCTTGTGCATCAGCGCCGTCTGCGGAATGCCCAGCGAGCCGACCGTGTCCCACACCGCGATCGCCTTCACGGGCACGTCGGGGCGCGTCATGCCGAGGTCGGCGAGTTTCTGGCGGTACAGCGGCGCGGCGAGCGGTCCAGTCGGCTTGTCGGGAAAGGGCCGCGTGGGGAACGGATCCTTGTACGACGGCTTGTTCCAGCTCTCCATGTCCTCGAAGATGGGGTAGAAGTCCTCCATGCCCTCGCGCGTGAGGAGGCCGATCTGGCCTATGAGCCCCGCGACGGAGCGCGCCGTGAATGCACCGCGCGAGAAACCGATCAGGATAATGTCGTCCCCGGGCATGTAGTTTTGCGCGAGGAAGTAGTACGCATCGCGCACGCGCTCGGCGACGCCGATGCCGAATGCGCCGCCCAGAAGCGTGTCCGCCGTATTGGAGCCGGTGCCGACGCCGCTCTGGTAGTTGACGATCTGGACGCTGCCGTCATCGCACGCAAGGGAGAACAGGCGCGAGATCCGCGTCACGTTCGAAGGGGACGCGTCCTCGCTGTCGGCGTCGTTCCACGTCCCGTCGCAGCAGATGATGAGGCGCTTGTGCACTGGCGGTGTCGCGGTCATGGTTGATGGGTGGCAAGAAAGGTCAGAGGAGAAGTGAATGAGTTGCTTGGAGCGCCGAGCATGCCGAGCGTTATATGGAGCGCTCGAGATCTATGGCGCCCAGCGTGGTGCCAGCGGACTGGGCGGAGTCGCGCCTGATCACCTGGATTGGGGGTAGTAATCAATTGTAAAACAGAGTTTAGCGTTTCATACCGATGCGAGTGTAACGTTAACCACGCGCTTGGTGCGGCCTCCGTCCCATGACCGCGATGTCTGGCGCGGATATGGACCATGCTTTTCCACGTTCGTTGACTGCACGCGGGTCCGAACCCTGGCCGCGCACGCATTGCCGACCGGGATAATCTCGGCATAGGTCCCAGCAGTCACTGATATCACAGCATCGGCTGGCTATTTTGGACTTGCCAGTTGCGTCGTCCGTGAAGGTGACGCTGAGCCGCACTGTCGCGCAGCGCACGGGGACCGGCGCCGGAGATCTGGAACCGCAAGGACAATGCGTACCGTTCCATCCGATGCTCTGTCCGCACAGGCACCAACCTTCGACGAGCGGCGAGGTACAGATCTCGAACACCGCCCTGCGACGCAGATCCGCACGGTGAGCTTGCACAGCTCTGCCGTGCTCGGCATAGCTACGCCGGCCACAGCTCATTGTTGTGAGCGAACCACGAGCGATGACGGCGATCACCACGTTCGATGACGGCCATCTGGTCTGTCCATGCGTAACCGACCATGCCTTGTCGCAATGTCCGACCGCCGCGCCCCGGCCCACGATCCCGGCAGCTGCTGGAGAAGATATCTTGCTGAGGTGGCATGGTCCGACGGCGCACAGAGCTATCAGCCTTTGGGCTGGCGATGGTCACCAAGAAGAGATGATCGAAGAGGTCTCGGCCGTTCGACGAATCTCCACATGGCGTTCGGCACCAAGTCGTGTGGTGTTCGAAGGAGATCCGGGGACTCAAAACGAGAACGCGATAGAGGGTGACGTTTGCAACGTTGAGGGTCCAAGGGGAGGCGTCAGGTGGCTTGAGCTCAACCCTTATAAGGCTTGGTTGAAGACCGATTCCACTTGCCGAGGTGATCACGATTCAACACGCTCGCACAGCATAGCGCTGCTGATACGAGACTGATACCTCCAGGAGCACTGAGCAGGGGACTTGTAGCGGGGAGCGGTCACCCCTGGCCTTAACCAGCTCAGAACTGGTGTATGACGAAAAAGCCTCTCACCCTGTCGTTTACCTGTCCTACAGGCTGTGCCGTGATTCGGGAGTCGAAGTCTGGACGGAAGCGGTGCTTGCAGGAGAGGCACGATCCGGCAGCATGGCTGATACCACACTCACATGCCCCTTCTCTCCATCTGGTGACACAACAGGGACGGCGCCGAACGTTTAAACAGCGCGGGTGTCCCAGTTTGTCGTTGCCGGCCAGCTCAGATGGATCCCACGACAGCTAGGGCCAGAGGCGGTGGTCTGGAACCGGTGCTCAGGAGCCGTCATCGCGGGGAACGTTTGAAGGAGCTGATGTCCGGCGTACTCCAGTCGATTCCTCAACAGGAGCTCAAACCGGCCGTGCGTCGCTTCAGGACTACCAAGTGTCTGCTCGTGTGAGCACAGCTCGCAAGGGGTCTGTTTGGTCCAAGGCACGCAGCACCTCTCCCTTCAGAAGCTGAAGGAAGTTGACGCAGGGTCCCAGTCTCAACATGCATCAAGGACGAAGTGCACTTCGGGGCTGTGCCGGCTCGTGGCTGCTCGAAGTTCGTTATTGTTCCGTTATCCTTCCCACAAGGGACGGTGGGTCGTAGTGCGACGAGGTCAAACTGTGGTGGCGTTTCCGGAGTAGTTTCAAGAGTGGAGGCAGTCGCGTGCAGAAGCAGTTTCATGACCGTGTCGTGTGAAGCCACTGTTTCAGCCGAGTCGTGCGCATCCTGGTGTCGCCGTCGGTGAGCATGGCCGCTGGGGGTATCGTGATTTGCGACAACGGCTGAAGCACGAGTTCTGAGTCGGCGTTGCGTTAGCCACGACTGGATGCTGGCGATCAGGGCATCAAGGACTCATCAGCTGTCACCTCGACCCCTCCACACATCGCACCCATGTCACGACTCGGAGGGGTGGGTGCCAGGAGGACTGTCGGTCGAAGTTTCATCTGAGGGTCTCGGACCTGCGACCACCACAGCTGCTGGAGGAACGGAGATCTTGAAGGCGCTTGGCTGCTATATAAGGTGAGCTGCTGCACACGGTGAGTAGCCAACATCAGCAGCATCATCTGCCTCTCGACACCCATACACCAACTCTAGTCACTCCTTCAACCTCGACAATCTCACTCGACATGCTCGCTACTACACTCTTCTCAGCCCTGGCCGTCCTGGGCTCGTCCATGGCTGCACCGGCCCCTGATGCCGATGCCATCAACGTGGATAACTCCTCCCTGGTCGCTCGCGGAGCCGTGGGTTCAATTCCAGAGAAGTGGCCGATCTCCGGCTGGGTCGTTATTGAGGAAGGCAAGCTCGTGGGAACAGTGAAGGAGGAGCCCGTGTCGGACCCGCTTGCCGAGTGCATGGTTGAAAAGTGGGGCAAGAAGCACAAGAACGACCAGGGCGAGTACGTCAACGGTTACATCAAGTGCCGGCAGACGACCAAGCGGGCTGCCTGGGATATCCGGCGCATGGGCGACCCGGCCGACTGCAGGACAGAGAACAAGACGGAGACGTGGTCCCTCAAGGAGGGACAGACGACCGAGTTCAAGGTCGATGCCAAGGTCGAGGGCGCGTTCAAGATGTTCTCGGTTAACATGGGTGCTTCGTTCTCCAAGACCAACAGCAAGGAGCAGGGGTACACTAAGACCGTCAGCTGTAACCCTACCTTCAAGGATATCAAGTGTCAGATTGCGTCGCAGGCTGTCATCGAGATGGAGACTATTGAGGGCTGGGTTCGCCTGCCGCCTGGTGACGTTGACAAGAATGACAAGCAGAAGAAGTACTCCAACTGGCAGGGCGTGAACAAGGACGACCCCCTTCTCGGAATTGACGACCAAGGGAAGAGGGAGCATTACCGCCACATCGACTATGATAACTACGCGGACGGCTGGAACAACTGGGAGGGCCTTGGACAAAGGGAGTGCGTCGATATCATCGACAACAAGTCGTACAAGGCTACCCGCCTCATCGACAAGTAGTCTGTAGGGATGAGATAGACTGCCTGAACAATGCATGAGAATTGCCGTTGAAAGGACCACATACACAGTGTGCATCCAGCGGGCTAGACGTCTGGTCCCATGCAGCCTTCATGAGCCTCAGTGAGGCAGTGCTCGTGCGCCCAGCCCGTGACCGTCTTGCTCTTGCTCCTCAAGCGCTCGAGCGTCTTGTCAAGGTGTGGGATAGGAACGCGGGCTCCAGTCGGGTGGGGGTGCATACCTTGGCATGCGTCGCGGTAGGCCTCAACGGCGGTGATGAGGTGGGGGTGGTGAATGTACCGCAGGCCAATGGCGAGGAGGGCAAACTGCTTCGCGCAGTGGTAGAAGCGGCCGTTTCCTTCACCGAGACGGAGACAACCTTGCGCGAGCCGAGTCAGGAGTTTGCCCTGTTCTTGTGCAAGGCCGAGTTCGGACGCCTTAGCCCCCGTGAACAAGCAGGGTGAAGCGTGGAAGGGCGCCAGTCCCATCAGCCTTGCCATCCAGATCAGATGAGCGGTCGCCTCAGCTGCCCACAATCGGTCTCCCCACTCTTTCCCCCACTCCTCCTCCCAATCTTCCACACCGTTCTCGCGCTTGTCGTAGTGGTTCTCCAAGGGCTGCAGCAGCGAAACAGGGTCGTTGGCGATGTCGGCGGGGTCCACCATGATATCCGTTCTCATGGCGTCGAAACGATTGAATGCCATGAACCGGCCCTTGATCGGCAGTGTCGTCTCAATCAGCAAAGCAGTGTCGTATACTATCACGTAGAGCTGATAGCGCTCCTCGAGATCCCTGAGTAGCATGGCACGGGCGAGGTCCTCGGGCGTGGATGTGCTAGCACGCTCCAGCCTTCCCCTCAGTGTTGTAAGCTGGAGAACGATGTCCCAGTGGTTGGACAGCTCAAAAGGATACCGACCCCAGAGCCGTTTGTTGAGTGACTTGTCGGACTGGTCCATGACCTTGTCGGTGACGTTGAGGCGTTGGATTGGGAGGGAGTCGCCGCCGGTGGTGAACACGGAGAAGAGACGGCCCTCGGGAGGCTCCTTGATGTGGTCGGCCAGGTAGAGCATGATGGGGTCGTTGATGGAGAGAAGAAGGAAGACAAGAGACAGAGTTAGTAGAGGAGGTTAGTCAACCTTCGTTATGTTGCCACCCACACGCATGGCCCGTGCTGCGCCAATCATTGTCTCACCCACTGTGCATTGCCGTACAACGACGGCGCAAAGAGGGCGCAAGGACTACATGCACCCCTCGTGCACCGCAGTGAGACAGTGCTCGTGCGCCCACGCGTCGGGGTTGGCAGCCTTCTTCTCCATCCTCTGGATCAGCTTGCGAATGTCGTCGAGGTGAGGTTTGGGTGGGTTGCCGAGGGAGAGGTGATGGATATGGCCGCGTGCGCTTAGTTCGTAGTGGGCGTCGCGATACAGACAGATGGTCTTGATGAGGAGGCGGTGGCTGATGAAGCGGGTCTCGATGAGCATCACCGCGAACTGAAGGCAGCGCAACAGGAAGCGGCAGTCATCGTGCCCTACACGGAAGCAGACGAGGGCACAGTTGTACAAGAGCGAGGCGTGGAGTTGGGCTACGCCGCTTGAGAATGCTTGCTCGGCGGTCAAGACGTCGGGGTATGGGTGCCAGGGCGCGATCTCGAGGAGGAGTCGCATGTAGGTGCGAAGTATGGCGCCGAGCAAGAAGATGCGCTTTTCAATGAAGGAGTGGATCTTCGCGCTTTCTGTGTACCCGTGCTTGGCAGCCTCCAGCTTGGCCACAGCCTCCAGGATGGGCGAGACCTCGTGGCGCTTCTTCACCTCTGCGATCTCGGGCGCGACGTACACGTCCAGCACGTCACGGTAATTGGCGCCGCGGCGAGTCTCCGGCGGGCGGTTGACCACGCCACGGTCCTCGAGCTCCTTCGAAACGACCTTGGTGAGGACGAGGAGACGCACGCGCTGTTCGGTGGCGTGTGACCCCAGACGAGTGGAGAGGGCTCCGAGAGTGAGCGCTTCAGGCTGGATGGGGCCCGTGACAACGGCAAACAGGCCCGGGCCTTGCCTCCAGACTGTCTCAATGGGCGCGTCGGCAGGATAGAGCGACCAGAGCTGCTTGTTGAGAGACTTGTCCTCCTGGTTAAGAACACGGTCGTTGACAGGCATGCGGCTCGGGAGTTCCACATCGCCGCCGGCAGTGTATGATGAGCCGAACGTCGAGACATCATACCACTGCACCGGGGGATACTCGTCGGCTTTCTGCTCGGTCGCTGGAGCTGGGACCAAGGCGGTGGAGCCGCCGCCCAGGTTCTTGTCGATGCTTTCGTCGGCACTAATGGGTTGAGTGTCGTGCTCGCCGCTTTCAGGCTCTGGCTGTGGCTCCTGCGAGCGTTCGGGCCGTTTGGGTCGCTTGTAGTGCTTCTTCTTAGGCATGCTGAAGGAGGTGACTTGATGATGGATGATGAGGAAGATGCAAGTTTTGGCGTGTTCCTTCAATGAGTAGCGGCACTGCAAAGGCCGATTGAAGCGAGGGCGCAGTCGAGGCGTCATCTGTGAGTCACAAAACCTTAGTGCAATGTCATCATGGTCCTGTGCACTGTCATGTACATGCATGGTAGGCCCACATCCAGATTACCTCTCCTCGCGATTGGGGGTTGCAAAGCTTTGTCAGAAAGCAAGCTCTTGCCAGCCCGTTACATGCATCCCTCGTGCGCGGCCGTCAGGCAGTTCTCATGCGCCCACGCGTCGGGTTTGGTAGCCTTTGCTTCCATTCTCTTGATGAGATCGCGCGTGGCGACGAGGTCAGGTCTGGGAGCCCTGTCGATATCGGGCAAGTGGCCATCATGTCCTCCAGAAGTGATGGCGACGTGGGCGACATGGTGCAGCTTGACAGCCATAATGAGCTGGCGGTGGGTGATGTAACGAGTTTCGATGAGGAGGGCCGAGAATTGGATGGAGCGAAGCCAGAGTCGGCAGTGGTAGTGACCCAGGCGGTACGACAGCAGAGCGCACTCGTAGAGAAGACCGGTGTACATCTGCGCAAGACCTGTCGCGAATGCCTGTTCGGCCGTCATGACGTCGGGGAACGGGTGCCATGGGGCAAGTTCCAGCAGGTCACTCAGGACCGCGCGCAGCTCAAGACCCCAGATCAAAGGTGGTTGCAGTGTCTTGGCGGCCTCAGATTGGTGCCGGTCATCCATCATGGAGTTCACTTTAGCCAGTGCCTCCTCTACGGACACCACGTGGTGAAGCTTCTTGGGCATGGCCAAGAGGAGTGAAACGCCCTTCTTCAGTTGGTTCACGAAGTTGCTGTGACGGCGCGACTTGGGACCACAGTTGTAAACGCCGACAGCCTCAAGGTCTTCCAGTGTGATGTTGTCGAGGATCATCATTTGCAGGCGCTGATCCGCGGCCTGCCAGCCGAGACGACGCGAAAGCTCGTCGAGGGGAACACAAGCGGGGTCGAAAGACTCAAGTGCAGAGAGATGCAGTGCCGCTCCTTGCTCCATGGCCGCTTCGCTGCTCAGCTCCACCGGGTACAGTGCCCAAAGTTGCTTGTTCAAAGACTTGTCTGTTTGGTTGAGAACGGCCTCATTGACGGGCAGACGATCCGGAAGGTCCAAGTCACCTCCGGCCGTGCACGGGGAGCTGTATGTCCCGCCTTCGTACCAGGTCATCGGGGGATACAGTGGCGAGGAACATTGGGCGTGGGCCAGCTGTGTAGCATTGTTGGGATTGGTTCTGAGGGGAAGGGCTGGGGCACTATCCTCAGCAGGCTGCTGGAGGTTGCCCTGCTCGTTGGAGTGGCTCTTGGGAAGCTTCTTCTTCGGCATGGTGTCGAAAGCGAACGTTGCCAGTCGTAAGTCGTGAATGGGGAAGACGCAAGAGGAAAAGGTGTCGAAAGCATGGCACTGTCAACCCGGGAAGTCCTCGAAGGGCGCATCTGGGGCGCAGATCAACGCGCTAGGTCCAGAAGGGCCTGTGGACCTGTCGTTGACGGAGCGAGGAAGACAGCTGTCGTGAGCTTGCTTGACAGGACCAGCTTTCCTAACCCCTTTTGTCAACAAGTTGGTCGGTCGTCATATCCAAAAGCTTGACATTGAAGGAGGGAGGATGCAGAGGATGGAGTGCTCGAGGGCGAGGAGAGTCTTGTAGGGCTGTAATGAGAAGGTGTTGGCTGGCAACGGTGTTGTTTACGGAGACCTGTGCGTGCCGATCCGATCACGATCGGAATCAAATTCGCCGAATCCAGTCACCCGATCGGCGTCTTGATGCTCCCGAGCCTCTACTCGGCCATTCCTCGCCGGACACGGCGGAACCGCGCTTCGTCAGTCCTCCGTAAGCGATGTCATCTCTGCAAACGACGGCACAGCGAATGACAATTGAGTGGGATGGTGGGTGGAAGTAGAGTTAACACGGTGCACGCGTTGCAATGGACGCGATGATGCCAAGGCTGCGCCGGGTGACGATCTGAATTGGGTTTCATGTCGCAGGGTTCACCACGTGGCTGATCTGGACGACCCACTGTTATCAGCTCGGGTCTGATGCCTATGAGGGCGGTGTAACGTGTCGATCGCCGGCGGGTCGCCATTGACGTCAACGCTCTTGTCGCGCCTGGCGCGTCACAAGACGCAGCACCAGCGCGCAGTCAACTCCAGAGTGAGACACCACTTGAAGTATATAAACCTAGACGCTCACTTCTCGATCGCCCCATCTCCCTCTTCATCTCAACTACCACCAAAACACACCAAACACCATGGACAACATCCTCAAGCAGGCCCAGGGCGCTCTCGGCGGCGCTGGCGGACAGCAGCAGCAGGGAGGCGAGCAGCAGCAGGGTGGCGGTGGTGGTTGTGAGTATCTTCTAATGATCGCACGAGCTCCCCCCTTCCCAACGTCTCTACCTTCCGTTCGTCCCGCTTAGCCCATTACGCTTGCTCCCTAACCAGCACGGGGCCCCTTTGTTGGGCCGTGACGGCTACAGACCTCACGGTGGCGGCAGGTAGGCGAGGGTTTTGCAGAAGTCCGATGTGTGCCCATCCTCCATAGTCTTGACCAGCTGCCGCTGGTCTCACGAAGCTTAAGCTGACCCCAGTCAACCTCGGCAACACCATCCAGAACCTCCAGAACGGCGGTAACATCGGCGACTCGCTCAACTCCATGGCCGGCGGTGGCAAGCAGGGCGAGGCCAACGAGGACTACCTCGACAAGGGCATCGACCTCGTCCAGCAGCACGCTCTTGGACAGGGCCCCCAGGACAACGAGACTGCTATTGAGCAGGCTAAGGATAAAGCAATTGCTGGAGTTATCCGCGACAAGTACAAGACCGCGACTGGTTCTGAGTTCCCCATCCACCAGAAGGACCAGAACTTCGGCGGTGTGTAAGGCGGCGCGAAAAAATGGCGAAAATTGATGCGAAATTGAAGAAGTTAGGCCGTTTTTCGTGTTTGTGGCACTCGCAGCTGGCAGGGATAGCACTGACACATCTACTGACGCTAGCGAGTGGTTTGGAGGCGGTTTGGAGACGATTGAAGAGGGGGTTATGGAGTGAGAGACGATCGAAGAGGAAGGTTGAACTGAAAGTGGCACAGCTGTGGCGCCACTCGACGGTGCCACACGGCTTGTGGCACGCCACAATGGACGAGGAAGGCACATATTTGCTGTCTGCTTCGCGCAAATTCGCATGCGCGGAGACGAGTGCAGCTCTGAGGATGACAAAACCATGCGCCTCGGAATTTCCGGAAATTTTCTGAATTCTCTTCGGACATGCCACTGACTGAGTTCCGTCCGTCGGTGCTATGCCGCCATTCGCTTATCAACGTAGGTGACTCATCGCAGCCGGTGTGATGCACCCTCATCCTAGGCACAGAGCAGTCTTGCACTTGTCGCGGCCCACCACAAGTCACAGCCCGAAAGGTTAAAAAGGGACAGTCTTGGACCACCCAATCCTCGTCCTTCCTCGACGCCTTCTCAGCGTCTTCCTGTTGTGCTAGATAGGTCCGACTGGGAATCGAACCCAGATTACAAGAATCAGAATCTTGTGTACTAACCGTTATACGATCAGACCGATGGTGGACGGTGAGTGCTGCGCAATTTCGGCGTCGGCGTCGGAACTCCGGTCCCGCTGGAACCGCCGCGCTGTGTCAAGAGTCAGACTGGCCCGCGCTGATTGAGAAGGGGTTGCCTTCAGCGGCGAGTTTGACGGAGCTGCCCCCTGACATCGGCAAGGTTGCGCATAACAGAGATCCGGGTACCCTCCGTTGTCGTCTGGGACTGTCAAACGCCACAGGCCTCCTCATCCATTCCTGACGCTCTCCCCACCCTCGCTTTGGCCTCCAAAAGCAAACAGAGCTTCAAGGAAGTAAAAGATTCTCCGCCAGGGAGTCGAACCCTGCTCTATCGCGGTCACTGGAGGCTCTTGCGAGCTCAGGTGCTCTCTCTTGAGAGGCGATTATACTAACCGATATACTAGCGAAGAGGCTATGCATGCTGCCGGGCGCATGCGCTGTCGGTGACACCGGTGCCACCGCGCACATCCATGATGCGACGAAGAGTAGACCTGTATGGATAGGTCGTGAGAAGAGGTGGGACAGACCGTTGGTTGCGTCCCCTATTGATCATGCGTGAAGGCCGCCTCGGGTGATCAGGCACGTGACCACCCACCCAGTTCATGACGCGACGCGAAGTGGAGGTCAATCTCGCAATCACTTCATCCCTCTCAACCACGTCGAAAGCATCGGTAAAGCAAGGATGCTTTCAGTTGCTCACATTAGCGAACTCTCTGGGTCTGGTAGCTCTGAGGTAGCGACCTGACCTCTCAGCCTCGCTCGCCTCTCGAGTAGGATACGTCACACGCCCTCACAACGCCTTCCCTCCCCCTCCGTCCTCCGTCACCATGCCTACCAGGAAGAAGCAACAGGAGATGAAGGGCCAGAAGCTCGACACTGAACCGCCGATGTTCTCAAGCAATATCGCTGGTATCATGGCCCTTTCCCCGCAGACCAAGTATGAGAGCGGCAACTTCAACTCCGAGTTCACCACTGGCGGCGACACCTTCCCCATCGAGCGCTTGAATATCACCGACAAGGTTCTGGACCAGTCTGACAAGTCGCTGAACCGCAAACTGTGGGAGTCGTTCCCTGTCAACAAGCACCTAGACGACATCAAGAAGATGGGCCAGGAGGCCATGGTGCACACGGCCATGGCGATGCACATGGGCAATGCCAACATTGCCGAGCTCCTCCCCGTCCACGCCAGGGACCAGCGCGCGCAGCTGTTCATCATTATCTACGGCGTCTGCTCCTTCATTGAGGGGGAGCAGGGCTCGCTCCTCGCCTCGGTCATGCAAGACATTGCCATGCGCAAAGCCAAGAATCGCATCGACCCCATCGCGACCGTCGTCGCTGAAGTCGAGGCGAAGAAGGACGAGGCAAATGACCTATTCCGCAGCATCAACCTCGCACCCAACAAGGACCGTCGCACTGTCGACGCTCTTATTGCCTACATTCGTGCCCTTCTTGCTCTCGCTCCCTGGTACGCTTCTCCACTGGTCTTCTCAGGCAAGCAAGCTTTCGACTTCGGCATTGCTCAGCTGCAGTCCGCGCTGCTCCTCAACATCGCCATCGCGTGCCAATACCTCGGCGATGCCGACCCCCGCTTCTACCGCAAGGCAATGCAGTTTGCGTCCCTCATCATCGAGATGCGCTACGTCAAGCACAAGACGCTCATGAAGGCTATCCAGATTCTCAACTCGAACCGCAACGAGCTCTGCAGAATCGTTGGCGAGTCTCCCGGCGCCATGCCCCGCATCGTGCAGGAGACTTTGACGAAGATGGAGGCCAAGGCGGCCGATGGGTGGGCGCACGAGAACTGCCGCACGGCGAAGCACGAGGGGTGCATGTAGAGTGCAGGTATGCATGGTTCGAGCCGTCGGGTTCATCTGGTCGAGCAAGACTACCGATCTGGTGGAGGTGTGGTTAGTGCCTGATGCCCCGTGCACGCCCTCTGATGACTACCACGCCTTATATTCTCACTTTGTTCTTCTTCCTAGAGGCTCACCATCGCCCTCCTTTCTATCACCGCGCTCCAGTATGCCCAGGCTCCCGACAATGCAGTTCTCCCAGATCGGGGAGGGAGCTTTCGAAATCTCCAACACGCTCGTCTACTCCCCGAACACGATCTACGAGAACGGCGACTTTGCCTCTCCGTGCACATCCGGGGGTGACACTATGCCCATCCTGCAAAAGCTCAACGTGACCGACAAGGTGCTCGACCAGACGGACAAATCCCTGAACAAGCGGCTGTGGGCGCTGTACCCCGTCGACAAGCCCCTGGCCGAGATCAAGGCGGTCTTTCGCGAAGCCCACTTCAAACTGGCCGACTGGCCCCTCGCAACGCGCGACGACATCATCAAGGCGGTCCCCGTGCACGACCGGGACCAGAGGCACCAGCTGTACATCCTCATCCATGCCGTATGCCAGATCATCGAGGACGAGGCGCTGCGCCGCGTCCTTGCCCCGCTGCTGGACAGATCATCTGACCCCAAGTTCTACAACCACGTCGAGCCCGTGCGTGAGGCGGTACCCCGCCTGAATGCACAGAAGGACCGCGCCAACGCTCTCCTACGCGCGGGACAGCGCGGATCCCTCGACAAGCAGTTTGAAGCACTCGTGCTCTACCTCCAGACCGTCCTCGAGCTGGCGCCCTGGCATCCCTCGCCCCTCCTGTTCACGGGGAAGCAGGCGCACGAGCTCGGCGTTGCGCAGCTGTATGGCTCGCTGCTCAGCAATATCGCGCTCGCCTGTTGTCTGCTCGGCAAGGCTGACCCGCGCTTCTACCGCAAGTCGATGCAGTTTGCGAGTCTCGTCATTGAGATGCGCTACGCAAGGCACAAGACGCTCATGACTGCCATCAAGACGCTGAACAATGCGCGGACGGAGCTCTGCAGGGAGACCATGTTCATGGACCCTGGTGACACGCCGGGGCTTGTGCAGAAGGCACTCGAGAAGATGTCGACGAAGGCGCACGACGGATGGGCGCACGAGAAGTGTCTGACCGCTAAGCATGAGGGATGCATGTGACCTGCGAGGGTTAACCCATCCGCAACCCTGCGAGCTCTGAGCTGCACAGCGACAGGAATGGGTGAGACAGAAGACTCTAGGCACCGTTGCTATCCAGCGCACTCACTCCGCACTCAACTCCCCCCTCTGTACACTGCTGTGTGCAGTCTGGTATGCAGCCTGGTTGTTGGTCTTCTGAGGAAACGTGACGCAGGCACCGCTGGATGCTGTGCAATGGAATATGCGCTTCACTGGTTGAGACTCTTTCCAAGCTTCTCTGAGATCCCGTTGCCACGTCTGGGGCTGTCACAACGTTGTGACTGCTCTACTCCTAGATTCCCTTCTCCTTTCGGCGGGTGGTTCTGGACTACGGTTTTGGACTACCTCGGTCTCAGGTTAATGCGTGGATACACGAGTACTTCCTGCTGCTCGGAAAGCGCGATACCATTCGCGCCTGTATAAAGACCTGGGCCGCAGGGACGTGCATTATTGTGGCCTAGCTCCCTCTCCTGCCCTTCACTCGCTCTCTCCGCCGCTTTACACACCACCCTGCTCCCTGTCTGCCTCGGTGGGTCGACTTGAACCATCGTCCACACTGACATCCAGGTCACGTCTCCTCGGTCTACAGTAGGCGAGAGAGTCCCAGATACGGTCTGACTTCCAGAAATGCTCATTCTCCGTCTCGCCGCTCTCGCAAGCCTCGCGGCGGCAGTGCCACTTCCAAACCCCAAGCCTGACCCCCTTCCCGAACCTGCACCTTTGAAGGTTTCACACACTTGGGCCATGGATGAATCCGCGCCCGATAGCACCGACGGTGAGGCGGCCCCCGCCGGCCCCGAGAACGCCGGATGGATGTTCGACTGGAACAAGCTGTTGGACTGGTTCCGCTCCCACTCGTCTGAGGTGGACGCTGGTCAGAGCTAATCGCTTCTTGCGCTGATCGCGTGCCGGAGGGTCCTACCCCCTGTTCTTTGCCTCCCACTTTCGTCACGCCCTCACGCTAAGTTTTGTTATGCACAACTATGACTCTGCTTTGCAAGCGCTCTTGTGCAGCCACCTTCCTTAGCCACACATTTCATACCGTCTGCGCGACCCACATCCCCGACAGAGATTCGACAACAACGACTCCTCGCCCTGTCTAACCTCTCTCGCCTCTCATCGACCACCTTTCCTATCTTGCAGAGCACCGATCGGCGCAATTCTCGGCGTCGGGGCCGCGGCGACACGCGCGGAATCGGCTCTGGGCGCATTACCACCGTCGGTCTGATCGTATAACGGTTAGTACACAAGATTCTGATTCAGCGAGTCGTTCTTGTAATCTGGGTTCGATTCCCAGTCGGACCTATGGACCCTGCCTGAGTATAGGGAGCAAGGGCTACCCTGGGACTACTTGCAGCGCGAGGGGGTGGGGGAAGATCCGCCCCCCTATTGTTGTTTTGGACCGCATATCAGTGCGAGGAGGGGTGGAAAGGTCCGTGCATGCATTCCGTCACAGCCGTGTAAGGAATCAAGCGCCAGTTGCGATGCGCAGCGTGGAGGAAGATAGGAGATACTTGTGAAAGCATTCGCAGCGACGTGAGGAGAATGGTGGTGCATAGTGGTGAAAAGGAGAAGAAGTGCCACTTCGGGCAGGGACGCTTTCCACAGACCACTAGCATACCTGATCAGTCGCACTGCTTCGTCCTATTATGCATGACATGGGGCCAGTCTGAAGGGCTCACGTGTGAAGAAGTGGGCCGTCTCCTGCCTGGTGCGCCGGTGAACGTCTGGTGTGCGGATGGACGGCGCCTGGGACAAACTCAGCTTGGCGCCGCCGAAACGGACCGTCCTAGTTGCTGCAATCGGTCGAAACCACGTCTGCCATTCCCACCGTCGTTGCGCGCCATGCTCCATATCCTTCAGACGTCCGTCCCTCTGGAATGACAGGGAGCCGCCGTTTCATCCTCTTGGAATCCAGTAGGCTTCCTTGCGCCCCTCGGCGTCGGAACTTCGTCCCGTGCGCCCTCGCCCCCGCCGGCGCCGCGCCGAGTCTCCGCAGCGTGCAGTGCGCCCGTCGGTCTGATCGTATAACGGTTAGTACACAAGATTCTGAGGTTGTCTTCGTTCTTGTAATCTGGGTTCGATTCCCAGTCGGACCTCACTACCACACGCTCGCTGCTCGCTGGCGAAGGGGGAGCGCGGGATGGCCAATGGGCCGACCTCGCTGTCCTTTTTCTTGAGTTCCGAATTTCTCGATGTTTCGGCGGTTGTGGCGAATTTGAAGGGAACCACGGTATGCATATGGCACCTGGATAGTCGCGCAGATACTTCACAGATGGTGAGCTCTGCACACTATGGGAGTCGGTGTGGTATGAAGGGAGGTATGGGGAGCATCGGGAAGCCGTCGAGAGGCTGGCCCTCAACTGTTCAGATGGTAGTACTGTACTTAAACCTGCATGTGAAGGGGGAATAAGAGAGATCTCATCTATCCATCAGGTGTCTCGGAAAGTCTATGCCTCCGAGGATCATGAGGACAACCTCCTGGCACCTCGACCAGTAAGAGCGACCGTGATTGCAATGCCGCACATGCATGTCTGGATTGATATGCATGCTCACTGACATCAGAGGCGCCTGAAGCTGCATCGACCCCTGCAGACGGACACTTGGAGTGCCATGCAGCCACCACATACCGAGGGTGTGGGAACCGGAATCGTGTCGGCCGAAGTGGTCGAAGGAGTGGCGGGCTCGGCGACATCTTGTGGTGGTGGCACTCGGGTGGAAGCGCCGTGCGCGGGTGATGGGCGAAAAGCGTCTACTTAGTGAATCGGAGACCTCTCCGCTTCGCGAGTACGGCCTGCGAGCTTGAGGGCTATGAATTGAAGCTTCCCCTTTCGCCTGCCTACTGAACAGCTTCACTGGAGTCCGGGACGTCATTCATCGAGACAGCTTGACATTCTCCATGAGAGGTGTAGCAGAATAAGGTGGCGTTAATCATTCATGATTTCATTGGGAAACAACCTAAAGCACTACAACTCTTCTAACCTAAGCGCGGGACATCATCTGAGGGTCCTTGCGGGGGTACGACGAAGTGGACGACGAGTCGTCCATGATGATGCGCTCCTTGTTCTTGTTCTTCAGGCGGAAGCCGAGAGCGAAGAGGAGACCAGCGAGGAGGAGGAAGGCACCGACAGTGACACCGGCACCGATGCCTCCAGCCTCGGTGGGAGAAAGACCGGAGGAGGTGGACGCAACCGAAGCGCTCTTCTTGCCGTTCTGGGAAAAGTCGGAGGAGAGGGTGACATTCATGGTCTCGTCGGCCTGGGCGATGCGCTGCTCACCGACGTTGACGCAGACGTCGGCGCCGACGCTCTTGTCGTCGGTCAGCTTGACGTCCGAGCAGAGGTACTGCCAGCGCTTGTCGAGACCCTTCTTGGGCGGACCGTCGGCCTGGTACATGACCATGATGGTCGCGACATCGCCAGCCTTAAAGCCGAGCGAGGCAAAGTCAGGGCCGTTGGCACAGGTGTGGCCGGCCTCGGCGTCGATGATGGTGGGGTCGCCGAAAGTCTGGAACTCGTGCGGCTCCTTCGACACATCGCCGGTCCAGAGGAAGTTGATGTTGTCGACGGGCTGGCGCTGCGACAGGAAGATCTTGCCGCCAGTCAAGGGGAACTCGGTGCGCTCGCCGAGCGAGGAGCCAGAGCAAGGACCCTTGTAGGTCAACGAGTGGTCGGTGTTGGTGCGCATGGGAGGGTACTCGACGTCGACGGAGGGTCCGGGTTTGATCTGGACATGGCCCGAGGGAAGAGCGGCCGCAGAGGCGTCGGCGCGGGGACGGAGGACAACAGGCGACATTGTCGTTTTAGGTTTGGTGAGATCGATGGGCTAGATGAGAGGATGGGTTGGGTTGGGAACTGAACGACGCACTCTAGGCTATATACTCGGTGTGCGGCTTTTTGCTCCCTCGGTTGCTCGATGCATGCTCTTCAGCGTGTGGAAACCCCCCTGGCGGACGACATGCATAATGGTAATGTTCTTCGGCCGCTATCACGGTTCCTGATTGGCAGATGGGTCTGCTTCGGCTTATCAGATACGCTTGGCCAAGATGCCGAGACGCTTGGCAACAGGCCATTTCCGTGCAGCTGCCATTGTCGCTTCGGGCCCGATCACACCAGAGGTCACCGTTGGCTGCGCGGTCCACTGTCATGTGCTGCGTCACTGCGCCTTTCTTTTCTCTTGTATCCGTCGGAGTCCGCCGCGCAGCCCACAGCCAGAGCGGCGCAGGTCCCACTCCACGATGCAGGCGCCTGTTCCTGACTCGCAGCGCGAGATTGAGAATGATGACTCAACTTCGCTTGCCAACCTCGGAATCTGCCGAAGCCTGGGGAACAAGTCAGTCTGACATGCATTCCTCTCGGTGGAGCACCGGAGTGTCCTCACCTTCACCTTTTAGTGTTAGACCAGGCTGGCCGGCGCCCGAGCCTAAGGTCGCTTCGGACGAGTACCTCCTTACATAGCCCAGGTGATGAATGGCTGAATGGGCTACTGCTGCAGTTCCGACACAACATCTCCCACAGCATACTCGATGATGAGATTTGCTCATGGACTGCTCACCTCCGATTAGACCTCAAGCAGAACCCGCTCATGAACTGTGCATGCAGAGCAGTGGCTAGAGCATGTTTCAACCCGATACCTTTCCCCTTTCCTCCCGGCGTGGAGGACACCCCGAACCGGCAAGCAACTTGTCTCTCGCACCATGCGCACCAAGCTCACGCAAGGTAACTCCGAGACTCATTTTTCGGCGTGAGTTGCGCACGGGATCGCTGACTCGGTCAGCAGGCAGCAAACGACCAGGGCTTAAACCGGAACGACGGAAGGGCTGCCCTGACCCACGCGACCATTCGGGCCCGTCACTTTTATCAGATAAAAAGCCAGGGATGCCGGCGTTACTGAGACGCCGATGATGTGGTTGACCATCTGCCGTTGCCGCCGAGGTGCGGGCTTCCTCAACTGTCTCGAGCGCATGTATGCTACGCTTGAACGCCGCTCCGTTTTCCGCATCATCGGCCTAGATCCAACTGTTGCCCTTCATTGGCCGATTCGATACGATGTACCACTCCAGGCCGGCATGGAGACATGAACGCCGCACCACTCTTCGGTGATCGCTACTTGTCTCAGCATCTCGACGCGTCTCCCGAAACCGAGGTACGGGTTGGGGTTGGCAGTCTGAGCTTACCCGGATTGACTGGTTTCTGCTGTCGACTGGCAGGGAGGGCACGCTTCACCTTCTCCATCATGATACCGACTACGCAGCTCTGAATTGTCCACTTCATGCCGGAGTGCGACTGTCGGCGACCGGTCCGCTGCCTGACAATTTTACTCTCCGGATGGCCAACTGCGGCCGAAACTTCCAAAGCATTCGGAGTTGGAAGGCGTGGCATTGTCGTGGGTTCCTCCCGGCACTGAGCTTGGACTAACCTCACTGATTGAGCTCCTCCGTGCTACTTCCGATGACGCCCCACGCTGACTACTAGGTCTCGCGGGTAGGTCATCTCGTTACGCGTTACCCATAGGAGACATGCAACTGACTGTGGGATAGGGGTCAATGGGCATCACCACGAAGAGGAAACCGGCGGGTGGAAAGCCATTCGAGATAGCCATGGACGAACGGAGGCGCCTGCGGCCGTAACCTGCCCGCGCTCTGCCTTCCGTACTTCGCCTCTCACTGTCTATCACTCAAAGCTATTTATCTCTTATTCTACAGGCACTGTCTCCTTGTCCTTATCAAGGCACCCTTCAACGCGCTCTCGGCGTCGGCGCCGGCGCCGCCCCGCCGAGATTGCGCAGCACCCGTCTTCACCGTCGGTCTGATCGTATAACGGTTAGTACACAAGATTCTGATTCTTGTAATCTGGGTTCGATTCCCAGTCGGACCTTGAATTGACGCCTGTCCGTTGCAGCGAAGAGCCGCGGCGTCGGCGGTTGGGGGAATGCACAGTGCTCGCACTGAAGGAACCCTTTTGCAGATGTTTTATTAGACGTTCGACTCCCCGCAGACCTGTCTTCACTGACGACCGCGCTTTCCCCTTGCTTTTAAAGACCCGTAACGGAGGCTTATAAAAGGCAGCCCCGGGCTGAGCATGGCCAGGGCTCACGCTCGTGCCTTCGCCGACCCCTCGAGACATCGTGAGGTTTCGAGCAAACGCCGCATCTCTCACCCAGGTCTCTCAACGCAGATATGCAATGAGGGGACTTGACCCAGGAAGTACGAGCGACTACTATACATACTCCCATCAGCTCATTTAGCCAAGTAGTGCGAGAAGGTGGACTGCAGAGCGAAACTTTTGGAATGAAGACAAGGGGCGGCATCGAAACTCGTTCGAAAGGTGCTCGAGAGGTACGTGGAGATGACACATGCCGTAGCCGCGGCCTGGGATGTCAAGAACTTGCCTCACAATCCGCTTTGTCCCGGGTAGTATCACCGCCTGCGGGAACAGGCTGTGAACAAAGCGGCACGGGCGAGCACGACGTCAAGGAAGTACGCGTCCAGGACATCTATGGTGAAATGGTATCATGCATCGTTGCCACGTGTGATTCGATGCGGTGGGGGTTCGATTCCCCCTGGATGTATTCCTTTTTCACTCCTCTACGCTCCCGAGTTGCGAGCGGAAGGCGGGTTTTTATGGAGAGAACATGTCGGGGTGTTGAGTGGACGGAAGGTGTGCGTCGAATGAAAGTTGAAAGTTAGTCGCGCCCCGAAAGCGAAAATTGGTTCCGCTGGGCGACAGTGCCTGGGTCCGGATGGCTTCTGGACGGTGTGGCGGCCTGGCGGAAGGGCTCCAGAGATGGGGTGCGTTCGAAACGCTCGTGCGAGCGCCAGAAGCGCCAACGAGGCTGCTGGTATGACTGGGGCTATTGTTCTTCTCGACCCCCGAAAGACGTCTACGGTTCGCACTCGTAGGGGTAGGTCGGGTCATGCCAGAGGCTGTAGCAAAACTGCGAAGAACGTGGGTCCCTATTTCCAACGTCGGTGCTCTGATGCTCTGATGGACATCGGAGGTATGTCAGACATGACTCATCGGCGTGTATCATGCATGTCGAAGGCCGCATTACCGACCCAGAAGAGCGGCGGGGCGGAGGTCGGAGTCCGCCCAATGCACGCCCGACATCATCACTCCCTTGGCAGGCATGGAAGACTACTCGCTGCCGGAACGGAGATTGGGAAGCAGCGATTCTCATCTTCGACGCTGCACGAGGCCTCGGACATTACTGCAAGAGAAACCTGTGCTCCAACTGTGTGGTCATTACGAATCCAACCCAGGACTCAGTGATGAAGTCGCGCTCTGAGGACGATCAAGCTAGGAATGTTGATGGAAAGATGAGCGGGTGACAGATGAAGTTTCAGTGGTGAACACCGAAGCTCGGGCCGGGTGACAGTCTCAAGCTCATGCCAAGCAGCAGCACGCACCTCCTCCAGCTGCGGCTGACGTCTTGTGGCCCATGCGCGACGGAGCACCAACATTGCAGCACCAGCACATCTGATGTGCACCGAACATGAGGCGTGGCTGTGTGGCGCTTCCCGTTTGGGGTCTATGAGGTCCGTTTCGCGTCACCTCGCACCATGTGTGCGTATACAAGACTAGAAGTAGAGTTGGGAATGACTGGAAGAAGGATTCACCACCTCACTTGCCACTACACGAATGCTTGGCTCGGCGTGTTTGCTGTGTCTTGTGTGTGCACCGACGGCTGGTCGTGTGTGAGCAGCACGAACACAAGTCGCAAGCGCATCAGTGCGACCTCGAACGTCCGCCCAAGATACTTCAACTCGCGACTGTCGACTCTTCGCTGCTTTTCCCCCATCATCTTTTTCTTCCTTCCATCATCTCTCCTTTGCCTTCAGCTCTCACTGGATCTGGATTAACTTACTCGTCCGCCCCTCATCACTTTCCACCCTCCTGTTCATATACCAACCTTGACTGTATCACTACCGTCTGTTGTCTGTCCTTTTCCCACCGATCCCGCATTCACCGACAAGAAGACCGCCTTCGCGTCGATCAAAAAGCTCGATCCACGTTCGATTCCCGGCATGATCTCCCTTCTGCCTATCCTGTGCGCGCTGGGCTTGCTCGTCTCGCCTAGCGCCGCTCACCCCGCGACCAACTTTAACAAGGCCATCACCCGCGTCCAGCCTATGTCCCACGCTTCCCTCGCCACTCGTGGCCGTGTCCACGCCAACATGACCTCGTGGGCTGCCACTGATGTGATCCCCGCCGCCAACGCGACCGGCTCGCTCGACAAGCGGGGCACCAGGTGGGGCAAGTACAAGTCCTACTCCGGGGACGCGTTCATGGACGAGAGTCTGTGGGACTACTGGACGCGCGACGACCCGACCCACGGCAAGGTCAAGTGAGTTCCGTCTTCTCTTCTGCCCCCACTAACGATAGCTACGTCTCGCTCTCTCAGGCTCGCGAGCACGGACTGGTCGGCATCAACCCCGAGGGGCAGTTCATCATGGCCGCCTCCTCAACGAGCACCTCTGAGCGCGGCCGTGATTCGCTTCGTATCCACTCCCGCGAGCGTTTCTCCAACTACCTGGTCATCCTGGACCTCCACCACATGCCAGTCGGCAAGGGCGCCTGGCCTGCCTTCTGGTCGAACGGCGACGCCTCTATCCGCGGTTGGCCCGACTGCGGTGAGATTGACATCCTCGAGGGCGTGCACGACAGCGGCCAGAACCAGTTCACCATCCACACGGCGCGCGATGGCTCGTGCCGCCTCAATCCCTCCAGTGACCGCTTCAAGTACACGGGCACCTTTGCGGCGCACCAGGAGAATGGCGCCTGTGACGGTAACCTCGGGTGCAGCGTTCGCAACGCCGACGAGAGGGGGTGGGGCACGCCGCTGAACCAGCACCAGGGCGGATATTTCGTTGCCGAGTTCAGTCCCCGCGGTGTTTACCACTGGTTCTATCTCCGCCAGGACTGGCCTGAGAGTCTCAGGTCCCTTCCCGACCAGATCGACACGGACGTCTTCGGCGTACCCCTCGCTGCGTTTGGCGGTGACGGCTGCGACGTCGGCAAGCACTTCACCCCGCAGCAGTTCATCTTCGACATTACGTTCTGCGGCGACTGGCTCGCCAAGGAGTGGGCTGGAGACAACGACGAGCAGAGGCGCGCCCAGTGTGAGGGCTTCGTCATGGACCGCAACAACGACGCCAAGTTTAGGGACGCGTACTGGGCCATCAACAGTATGGTCGTTTACACCGAGTGAGTGAACTCTACTCAACGCTGATCGGCAGTATGGACCATCAGTTCTGGGCTTCGAGGAGTGTATGACAAGATGCTAACATCAGGGATGGTGACAGGGGGACGTACGTGGTCGCTGCACTGTCTGGCAATAGCGGCGGCGGCGGCAGCGGCGCGTCTTCCAGCAACGCGCACGCTCCTTCCAACAAGGACAAGCCCGCTCACAGCTCCTCGCACCGCCCCTCCGCCTCCTGCTTCACCCTCGCCTTGACTCTGGCCATCTCGCTCTGCTGCCTCTGAGTAGCCTTCCACTCTATCTCCCGTTCGGGCTCCTCTCCCTCGCTGGCGAGGCGGAGGAGTACTTCGCGTATCGTCTCGGCGAATGAGAGCTGCTCAGCGGCCATGTGTCCGTACTCTGGTTCTCTTGAGTAGGCTACGGTCGTCGCCGAGATCAGCACATCCGACGTGAACCCCTTCACTGGACTGTAGCGTGTGCGGAAGCGCTGCTGTCAGCTATACCCCTTCATATCATCACCCTGCACCCCTTCCACCTTCGTCCCTTCTTCCCTTCACACCTCAGTGCCTTCATCCCGTCATCCCTTGGTCCCGGATTGTTCTCAAAAGATTGGATTTTGTCGTAGAAAAGTTAGAACTCACATGCATTTTGTACGCGCCCATCGACCCCGTTCGCTCCTCCATCGACTGGGGTCAGCTCAGCAAAGAACAAGCTAGCTTACGTGAAACTCGTCTTCGAGCGGCCACCAGTCACTTCCAAGGGGCACGAGGTCCGAGACAGCGTCGCCGGCAACGGAACCGCGGTGGATCGCACCGAACGGATGATCGAAGATACATTCAACCTCATCTGGATTCGGCATGAGGTCGTCGAGTATCTGTGGGTCCGCGATGAACGCGACGACGGCTGGGTGTTAGCTCACCGGGGTCGACCTCGCAGCTGCCTGTGGTGTGCACGGAAGAGCCGGTGGTGGGACGATGGCGGACTCACGCGTCACGATGATGTGGTGCTTCCACATAGCCCCGACGGGCATTACCGTCACGATGGGCTCGAGGACAGCGACATTGTACACATCCTCACTGCGTGGCGGAAGCCCAATCTCCTCGTGTGCTTCTCGGCGCTGGCTGTCAGCTGACCACCCATGCAACGTAGCTTACAGCAGTGAAGACCGGCGATGGGTCTGTGTCATCCTGCTTTCCACCCGGAAGAGCCTGTCGTCAGCTAAACTGGAGCATAAGCTAGCTCACAGTCTGTCCTGGATTCCGCCTACGTGTTAGCTTTGCAAGTCACATGGAAAGCTTCCGCCCGCGCCGATCACTGTGACGTGGATGACTCACCTCAGGTGCGCAGCTCTCGTCGTGAGAAGCACGCGCAGACCGTCCTCCCCTTCACGCTGGTATAGCGCGATCAGGACTGCTGCCTGTCGAGCTCCCGGATACCTGCTGGTCAGCTGAACGTCAGGACATGCTAGCTTACTCATCAACCTTCGGTCTGGGACAACTCGCGAATGTGTCAAGCACCTGTCTTGATTCCGCAGGGAGGGAGTCGAGGATGGAAGAAGGGATGGGACAGAGGTCGTAGTCATAATCATACGACTCGTTCAGACTGCTGGCGCCTGAGGCGAGGTTGCTCGGTGGTTGCGACGGACCGGCGAGGATGTGGACGCCTGTTCCGATATGGCTCGGAGTAGAGCGGCCGCTGCTGAGGCTGGCGGCGACGCCGTTGGGAATGGCGTCCATGTTGCGGGGCTAGAGGCTGAACGTCGTGTTGTTTATATGTGTGGGAAGGGTTGGGGCGGCGCTTAGCTTGTAACGACGAGGTCGTACGTTTGTTGTGTGGAATGGAGAGATAACGAGTCGAACTGGACTTTTGTGGGGTTGTCACTTCCCACCAGCTGATTGCCGGCGATTGCCGAGGTGGAGGTTCTCCGGTTCGGCCCGGGCAGAGATTACCGCGTCATCCCTTCCTCTTGCTGCTGTGTACTGCTGATGCATCTATGCTACGATATCTATGCAAACTCGATCTTGTCCGCGACCTGCTCGAGAATCTCCCGCGTGCTCTTGCCAATGTTCTTCATATCCTTGGCCGTCGCCTGCCAGACGGGACCGTGATGCGGCTGCGCGGCGTCCGCCTTCTTGCGCACCTCCTCGATACGCTGCGGCTCGCCGTGCTGCTTCTCAAACTTGAGCCACCAACCATAGGCGTCTCCCCAGTCGGGGTCTGCCGTGATCGCGTTCTGCATCCACTGCCGCGTCTTCTCGATCTTGCGCTCGGCCCAGAACAGGCGCGCAACGGCCATGATGACGGCAGGGTGCTCGCCGGCCTTCTTCAGCGCATCGACGGAACGGCCCTTGCGCTGCTGAGGGTTCTCCATGAAGATTGCCATAGCCCAGAGTAGCGGCGAAGAGGGACACTCTTGCATCGCTCGGGAGAGGAGTGCCTTGGCCTGCTGTGTCGAGCCGGCGCGCTCTTCGATCTTGACCGCTTCCGTCCACAGCACATCGTTCTTCGGGTTGTGCAGGCGCGCCTTCTCGAGCAGCGAACGGGCTTTGATGACGACACCCGCCTTCTCCTCCAGCCTAGCAGACAGAATCCACAACGGCACGCTCTTGGGACACGCGCGGCAACCCTGCGCGTACGCCTTGCGCGCACCGGCAACATCGCCCTTCTCCTCCAGCACCTGTCCGCGGATCATGTGCAGCTTGTCGAAAGACGGGAAACGGCCGATAGCCTCGTCGAGCGTCTTGAGGGCCTCGTCGAGCTTGCCGAGTTGTCGCTCGAGGACCGCGCTCTTCATCCACACGCGCTCCGTGTCGGCCTGTCCGCGCGCCTTCTGCAGGATCTGCTGCGCGGCCTCGACCTCGTTCGTCTCGGCCGCAATCTTGGCAGCGGCAAGGAAGATGGACTCCGAGTCCTCGTTCTGCTCGAATGCGCGGGAGAGAATCTGCTGCGCGCCGACGACGTCGCCGCCGACCCACTTCTCCTTGGCGGCCATGAGCCACAGCACCTCGGCGTGCGGGCAGTGCTCGGCACCCTGCGCCAGAATGTCCTGCACTGCCTCTGGTGTGCCGTGCGCCTTCTCGAACTCGGCCGCCTTGCGCCACACACTCGGCGAGTCGGGGAAGGACTCGATGAGCACGACGAACACGGCACGGGCAACCTCGTAGAATCCGCCGAGGGCTGCGCGCTCCGCATCCTCCAGCCAGACCGTTCGTCGGTCCTCCTCCTCGATGTCCAAATGGATTGTCGCCTTGACAATCGCTTGGGCTGTAAGTGGACTGCCGTCGCGCTCGCACGCCTCGGCCTCCTGCAGCCATTGCTCGCGGGTGAGCACGGCCTGGTGCTTGGTGAGACTGCCAACGGCAAGCTTGATGAGACGGTCGACCTGCGCCGCAAGCTTCTTGCGCGCCACCGCGTCCTCTTCCGCGCTCGCGTCCTTGCTGACGGCACTCGGGGACTGCTCCGCCAATCGGCCCGCTGCAATCCAGATCTCGTGGCTCGTCGGAATCTTCTGTCGCGCGCTGTTCAGCACCTGCTTCGCCTTGTCTGGCGTCTCGAGGCGCGCGAGCGTAAGCCACAGCTCGACGCTGGTCGGGATGACCTCGACGGCGCGCGTGAGCAGGATTCGCGCATCCTCCGGGTCGTCCTCGAGGTTGACAACCTCCTTCCACAACCTGACCGAGTTGGGAATGAACTCGAGGGCTTTCCGCAGCACTCGGCGCTTCGCGTTCGGATCAGCCTCCAGGGATGCCGCCTTGAGCCAGATCTTGACCGACTGGGGGACGTTTTCGACCGCGCGGGCGAGGATGCGCTTGGCGTTCTCGGGCGTGTTGAGCTCGGCGGCGTGGAACCACACGTCCTCAGATCGGGGACACTTCTCGCATCCCTCGGCGATGATCTTGCGCGCGGCGACCATCTTCTTCGCGTGCACTTCCAGCGACGCAGCGGCGATCCAGCCTGGGGCGTGCTTCGGGTTGCTCTGGATCAGGTTCTGCAGCAGTTGGCGCGCCTGCTTGATGTCGCCGATCTGCGCGTCGGTCTGCAGCACCTGCGAGTTGAGTGCCGTCATGTATCCGCGCGGGTCGACTGAGGTGCTCGATCCGTTGGCTGCATCTCCGCTCGCCTGGTCCAGCTTCAGCGACAGGACACGGTCACGCGCCGTTCCCATAGCGACAAAGTCAGTCATTGTGCCGTCGGCGTCGGCGGGTCCGTCGTCAATCTCGCCCATAAGCTGCGTGCTGGCGGCGGCGCCAGCGAGCACAGAGTCGGAGACAGCGTAAAGTTTGCCGTTTTGGTTCTCCTCGAGTCGGGGGTTGTGCTTTCTCCGCTTGCCGGTCATGTTGCCAGCCTCGGGGATGGCCTCCCAATCTTCATCCTTCAGCACGCTCAGTCCACGTTTCAAGTCCGCAAACTGCGTCTGGATCTTGGGATTGTTCGCCCTCTCCTTCGCGGCAGCTTCGGCTTCGGCGGCCTCGCGGTGCGCCTTCCTCCGCTCGTCCATCCGTGCATCGACCGCATCCCAGATCCGGTCCGCCTCCTCGTCGTCCGCCTCGTACACCGTTCCAGCGAAGAGGTTGCGCTCGTCCTCGGGGTCTTGGAACTGGTCCGGGTCGGGAATCTCCTCGCCGCGCTTCGCCATCGCCTCCTGGATCGTCTCGGCGGAAGGACCCTCGCGCGCGGGACCGATGTCGGATCGCGTCGTGAAACCGCTCGCTCCTCGTCCCAAACCCGCGACGTAGGACGCCGGAGCCTGCATGTTCAGGAACGCATAGCGGTGCTCCTTCGGGATCGACCGGACGGTGCCGATGTGGTTGCCCGACATGGTGCAGTGTGGGCTGCGCCGCCAAGTGTTTCTGTCTCCGAGGGTGAGCTGAGAGTCGTGTTCGGCGTCGAGGGGCCGGGTCGAGCTTTTCTTTTCAGCTGGTGGCTTTTTTAGATCGGATGCCCGTCGCTGGGCTGAGATGGAAGAAAGATCAAGGACAACAACAACGATCGAAGCATCGATCGCTGATGTCTGGGTTCTCGAATTCAAGATCGGTTGGTGGCAAAGTGGGGCTTGAATAAACTCTTCCACGCGAGATATTTCGCCACCAACGCCATCACACCTCCACCACAGACGTTCGAGTCATTTCGGCCGGCTGACCAAGCATCCCAGCTACCTCTCTCATCTCACTCCTCCACGACAGCAGCGACGATGAGCGAGCAGCCGCTGTCTACGCCAGTATCTCGGCGCCTCTCGAGCGTTAAGAACATTATCATTGTGCTTTCGGGCAAGGGTGCGTAGTCTCACATCTTAGATGACCTCTGGTAGCTGACGTCAGGCGGTGTCGGCAAGTCGAGTTCCGCGGTCCAGCTTGCGCTCTCCCTGCTCAACACTGGCCCGAATGTGCGTGTCGGTCTCCTCGATCTGGACCTGACCGGCCCCTCCCTCCCGCGCATGGTGGGACTGGACGACCCGAGCGCGACCGTGAAGCAGTCCTCCGCGGGCTGGGTTCCAGTCTATGTCGACAAGGAGGGCCGGCTGGGCGTCATGTCGATCGGGTTCCTGCTGAAGAACCGGGGCGATTCTGTCGTCTGGCGCGGCCCAAAGAAGGACGGCATGATCCGCCAGTTCCTCCAAGAAGTCCGATGGGGCGACCTCGATTACCTCGTCATCGACACGCCGCCGGGCACGACGGACGAGCACATCAGTCTCCTGACGCACCTGCACCCCCTGTTCACCCCGACAGCAGCCAATCCGACCACACCAACGGCCGTGATGGTCACGACGCCCCAGAAGACCGCTATCAACGATACGATCAAGTCTGTCTCTTTCACGCGCAAGCTCGGCCTGCCCGTGCTGGGTGTCGTCGAGAATATGGCAGGATACGCGTGCCCGTGCTGTCATGAGATCAGCGCCTGCTTCGGCAAGGGTGGAGGGGAGGATATGGCGAAAGACCAAGGGCTAGAGTTCCTCGGCAGCGTGCCTATTGACACGAAGCTGGTCGATCTGCTCGATGCGGTGAGCAAGGGCGAGATGCCAGGCGAAGGGGCTAAGGGGGAAGACGCGAACGAGAGTGCAGCCGAGTCTGGCGCGCAGGCTGAGGCCAAGACGGGGGATCCGGCAGGGAAGGATGGCGAGCCGAACGGTCAGTCGAACGGGCACACCGAGCAGTTCCCCCTGCTTGATCGGTACAACGAGACCACGTCGGCGAGGGTCTGGAAGGATATCGCGGGCAAAGCGGTGGACGATATCAACAGGCGACGGGGGGAGATAAGCGCCAAGCTCCAGGCCGCTTAGACGTAGAGGGTGATGTTGTATGCATAGCTTGATAGACTGCCCCCATCAACTTTTACCGGTATCGACTAACTTGCAAAGTGCATGTAGAACTGAAGGACGGGAGCTGAGGAACAGGCAGGCAGCAGGTGGAGATCGGGGGACGAGTGTCAAGGTGCGATGGAGGATCCGGAGGAGATGATGAGATGAGGATGTGAGACGAGGTGAGGTGGAGGGCCGATGGTTTCAGACAAGGCGTGGCCAAAAAATGGCAATTCCACGCTCCTACAGATTAAACAACCCAGATCGGCCTCTTCCCATTCTGTTACTCGAACTCCAGCTCGCTCACAGAGAGAGAGAAGGGGCGGATCTGCGATGGTTAATCTGTGGGGGCGAGGGACCGCTCGTCCACGCTTCAAGTGGCGAGAGCCTTAGAGCTGGCTTGGGCTTCGAGGCGGGAGTCGGGAAGGATCGGGAGGAGAAGGGGGGGGGCAGAGGGGGCTCGAGAGGCAGGGATGGAGGGACTCATGGAGTGAGGTGAGGGTGTGCAGAGGGGAGAAGGACGTGGAGGAAAGAGAGACGTGGAGGAAGAGGTAGCAGAGCCTCGCGGAGCCGCTCGGATCGCAAAACGCCTCATGCCGCCATGCTGAGGCTTGAAGGCTTCAGGCTTTTTGGCGCCCGGGCGTTGTATCGTGGTGGGGTCTTCAGCATCGCATCTCACGTGCGCGCTGGTGTTCAATCACTGCGCAGCAAACGATGTGGAAGTTCATGTGAGAGGTGGTGGCTACACTCCAGACAGTGGGCAATCTAATACATTCTTGATGTGTCTATTTTTCATCTCTTTCCTCTAGACCTCTCTAGCTGGCCCGCTCAGAGCTCGTCATGCTTGATCTCCTGCTCTTCCCGGACGGGCTCTTCAAAGACCTTCTGTTCCGTCTCCTCGACGACGACCTCGGGCTGCTCCTCCCTCTCCTCGGCCTTGAGCTTGGTGTCCTCCTTGGGCGGGGCCTTCTTCTTCGGCCGCGGGACACGGGGATCCTTCCTCTTCTCGAGCGCCTGGACGTAGATCTGGAGCGTCTTGCCCTTATCGTCGAGATCCTTGCTGAAGATGACCGGGTCCGCCTTCATGTCCCCGTTCAGCTTGACCTGTTCCGTCATGAGCGGGTCGATCCACTGCTCATACTCCTTGAGCATGTTGGCGACCTTGAGCAGCTCCTCCTCCGTGTACTTGGGCGGCGCGACGGGGTTCTCGTCCGTCGCGCTCTCGGCCGCCTTGAGCGCCTCGGTCCGGTTCTCAGTCGCCGACAGGAGGAACGCGCGCCCAGCGTGCATCGCTTGCTGGAACTTGTCGACGGCCGTCGGGCGCGCCATCCACTCCGTGTACCGGAGCGCAATGGGGGCCTCGAGCGCCTCGAGCTCGGTCAGGCGCGACACGAGGTCGCCGGCAGGCGCACTCTCGGCGTACTCGTGCAGCCACTCGAAGGCCGACGCGACCCCAGAGGACAGACGCTCGCGCTCCTCGTCCGTGCCAAAGTCGAAGAGCGCCTTGCTGTCGGGCTCATCGGAAAGGTAGTTCTGCACGCGGTACAGGTACGCTTCGAGGCGGTTGCGGGCCTCCTCGCGCGCGCGCAGGGCAGCCTCGTAGACGCCAATGGATGCCAGACGCTCCTTTGTGATCCGCTTCTCGTCCTTGGACATGGTCTTGAAAAGAGGCTTAGAGGTGTACTTGAGAATCACGCGGGGCGCCTTCTTTGGCTTCTCGGCAGCCTTCTCAGCCTCAGTCTTGTTCTCGGCGCCCTCGGTTTCGGCGTCGGCGTCGGCGGAAGTCTCGGTCTTGTCCTTCTTACCAAACAGCCCGCCGAGAACGCCCTTAGCCTTCTCGGGGACGTCGGTCTGGTTGCTCGTCAGCGCCGCCTGGGCGACGGAGAAGAAGCCGCGCTTGTCGAGTCGCAGGGTGAGGTTGACGACGGGCTCCGGGGCGGTAAAGTTGGCAAGGGCGGCCGAGATGTCGGGAATGTTGACCTCGAGGATCGGAGTGCCGCTCTGCTCGAAGACGAGGTCAAGCTTGTCCTCGGGCTTGAGAAGCAGCGTCTTGCGTTCACCCTGAACAGTGCCCTTGGGGAAAACGACGTCGCCGGCGAGCGAGTAGTCGTAGCTCGAGTGCTCGTCGATCTCGATCGACTTCATCTTGAACTGCCTCGAGATGCTGGCGCCGTAGAACGCCGCACCGAGGACAGCCGCCTCGTCACCGTTAACAGACTGGGCGACCTTGTCGTCCTTTCCGCCGAGGTAGTCACGAACAGCGGTCTGAACCATGGGGACACGGGCGTTGCCGCCGAAGAAGAGAACCGAGGTGATGTCGTCGATAGTGAGACCGGCGTCCTTGAGCGCATTCTTGATCGGAGCAGTGAACTCGGGCAGCTTCTTGGCCATCTTGTCCTCGAGTTGCTCGCGCGAAATCATGCCGCGGAAATCGAGGTCGTCGAACAGCGACTCGACACTGGCCTGCGCCTCCTGGTTCGCGCTCAGGATCTGCTTGACGCGAACAGCCTCCTTTGACAGTCGGGCCATCGCACGCGCGTCGTCCTTGACATCCGGACGCGAGGTCTTCTTCACGAAAGCGTCTTGAATGAGATCCCGAGTCGCAATGTCGAGGTTGACGGCGCCGACATGCTCGTACCCGACCGCCAGGGCTTCGACGTGCGTTGTGTTGATGAAATGCTTCGACTTGGGGGTCACGCGCTCGCTCGTCTGGTACATCGCCAGGACGGTCGCCGATGTGTAGATCGCTCCCGAGTCGTAGACAACGTAATACTCCTTCTCGCCCTCGCCCGTGACCGGGTCAAAGGTCGGGAACGTCCGCGTCATGGCGTAATTGAGTCCGACGGCGGTGCCCTCACCGATCATCGCGAGACATTGGAGGCCCTGCAGCTCGAGCGCATCGCGGTAGGCACGTCGCTGCTGTTGGTCGAACCAGTTCGGGACGGTGACAACAACCTGCGAGACGGTGTCGGGTGCGGCGGCCTCGTCGGCGAGACCCTTGAAGTAAGCGATCTGATGGGCAAGGAGGTCGACCGGCGTCCATGCGGCATCGGCGGAGGGGGCAGGCTTGATGTGATCCGGGACGTTAGCGTGCTCGAAGATGAGGGAGCCGTCGTCCGTCAGAAGAGGCGGGTTGGGGTATATCGGAAGGTCGGGAACTTCAGTCGCGGCAATCAGCGGCTTGACGTAGGGGAAGTGGGTGGAGGGGAAGCGCGATGCCTGCGATCAGCCAAGTTACGATGCAGCTCTACTCACGGACATCTTGCCCTCGGCGCCGAAGACACGGTCGTTCTTCTTCCACCCTACGACGGAGGAGATCTTGCGCTTGGCGTCGCGGTCGAGGAGAACGTCAAAGGGAGTGCCGGGCTTGACGAGGGAGAGTTTTGTAAACTCTGCTCCATAGTCGATGGCGAGGATGGCGCCCTGCACTAATGGAGAGAGCAGGGCGAACAGCAGGAGGAGGCACTGGTGCAACCTCATGTTGTCGTTTGGGGTGTAGTTGGTGTTGGGTGCACGCGGGGGTGCGGAGTGTCGTGGGACGGAGAGAGGAGGATTAAGAGCAAACGACAAAGACAAGCGCCGACACGTCATGTCCGTCGTGTCCCGGAGTCTTCCACGGAAATCGCCACGGAGTCAGCCAAGACCTCCACGCACCTCCACCGAGCCCTGCCACGTTGTATGGTAGTTTGCCACCCAGCCACGCCCGCATTAACAAATTTGATCCCGCTAATCCAGTGCTGAATACCCCCGCACTTGCACCGCTCTGTAATCATCGCAAACGCGTCCTGAAACGTAGGAGATGGTCTCGTTTCAGGAGCGCAGTCAGCCCGTCTTCGAAAGTTCAACCACATACTCGATCGGCTTGGGTGAACTTGTTACTTCCGTGCAACCTCTCAATGGCAGCTAGCAACTGTATGACTGCGCTGACTGCAGCGACACTTGAGCGGGCCGAGGTGATGTGGGTATGTGTGTCAGGCAGACGCCAGACGCGCAGCCGCGGCAGAGTGGAGACAAACTGACTCGATGTTCGCCACTCACACGCTCACCTGTTTCCTTGACGACTTGGACAATGGAACTCCGACATCTGGCATGTTGACATCCGTCTCAACTCAAGAGAATCTCCCAGATACCATGTCTGACCCGTCATCTGCAGGACTCGCAGCATCAAGCGACAGCGCGGCAACCGCCAACGTCGACCCGACCGCCACCACTGTGTTCGACGTCGATGGCGACCCTAGCACCTTCCCTCGCGTCATCAAAGTGTACCTTGCACTGCTGGCTACTCCGCCACCCGAATCGGACGATCCCACCTCCCGTTATCGACTTCCCCCACCATTGAAAGAAGACAGCGCCTCTTTCAGCGCCCTCGTAAACAAGGGTCTGGCGCACATGAAGGAGAAGCGTTCCCGTGGAGAAGGGTAAGGAAAGCCAAAGTCCGCTGGTACTGAATCTCAGGCTGTTCTACGATGCCGAGAGTCTAAACAAGCGTCTGAGTTGCCGCCCGTTGATGCCGTTCCTTCCGAACGACCTGCCTCAGGACGATCTGGAGGCAATGTCCGATGAACGGCACCTGATGGGTGGACCGGCGCATGCCATCTACACTGTGGGTGCCGACTATCCACCGATACTAACACCCAGACCAACGTAGTGTTGCCCATTCCCAAGCCGTTCGTGCATGCGCCCGAGTCTGTCTTTCACTCTGTGGTCGAATGGCTATACGGCTCAATGTGGCCGCCCCGCATCGCGTTTGGACTGCCCCCCGACGATATCGACGAGGACGGCGCCATCGTGCAGCTCGACATGGATGCCGATTATACCGATGAGGATATCTTAGCTTCCATCGGGAACATGATGCTGAGGAATATCAACTTCTGCCGCACCATGAGCGCGAGCTCGAGGGAGAAGCACCGCGAATACTTGCCGGAGTGGGTGCAGGACAACGAGCTCTTTGCAAACTACCAGAGGAGGACTGGATTCTCACCTCCTAAGTAATGCCTCTTCTGTGTCACTAGTGTTGCATGCTCTGTCGCGCTTAGCGAATGTACATGTCATGGCTTCTTTAGTAATGCACCTGTTGTCCTGCAGTGGATCCGCTGTTGTCCCACACGACGTTGAATCTCGAGGAGCGAGTCGATCGAGTCTGTAAGGCTGATTAGGCCAAATTGGTCCCGCTAATGAGGGAGTGTTTCGTCTCACTCACTACTATAATCTTCGTGGGCCTAATACTCACTACTGCCCGCCTCCACCCTGTACCCTGAAACCGCTATCCGCCGGGCCGGACTCGCACACTCACGCGCGCGCGCACGTACGCACGCACGCACGTCACTCGCTCGCTCATCGTCAACATTCCCGCATTACACTCCATCGTCGTTCCCTTCATCACCACCCACCATGGCAGATACAACCAAAGACCAGGACACAAAGGCAGCCCTTGCAGAGGCCACTGCTACAGACCTCGCCGACAAGCCCGCTCCCAACGAGGTCAAGGGTGACAAGTTCTCCGAGACAGCCACCAAGGCGGCCAATGACGCAAGCGCATCCAACGACTCGCGCAACTCGAAGGAATCGAAGGGTACAAAGGACGCAAAGGACGCACAGGTGACCCCAGATGCCACTGAAGAGGACGATGATGACGACTCTGTCAAGAACGTCCCCGTCACGGCGAAGAGTGCCAAGGACACGCCAGCCGCGACCACCGACGTACAATCCGCAACGCCCAAGGCCAAGGACGCCGAGTCGCCTTCTGCCGACGGCACCGAGACGACTACTCCCGCTTCTGCCCCTGCTACCCCTTCTGCGCCCGCTGTGCCGCCAGCCGCCCCCTCGCCAGCGCCCGATGCCTCACCCGAGGTGCGCGAGTTGCACGCCATGTTCCCGAGCATCGAGATCGGCGTGATTGCCATTGTGCTCGAGTCTGTCGGCGGTTCGCAAGACCGCGCCATCGAGCAGCTGCTGGCCATGAACGATCCTGACTTCCGCCCCGACGACGCTTCAGCCCGCCAAGCCGAACTCGACCGTCAGGCAGACCTCGATGCCGAATTTGCCCGCGCGCTCATCATGCAAGAGCAGGAGGACGAACGCGCGCAGCGCCGCGCCCGTCCCGCCGCCGCCGGAGGCATTCCTTCCGACCCGAGCCAGCTGCCGTACCAGCCTCGAGTCCGGCGCGCGCGTCCTCACCCCGACGCGGAGCATGAGGGGCAGCACGGGCAGCACGGGCAGCAGGGCCAGGCTCATGGTCATGGCCAGGGCGAGGACCAGTTCGCCGCGTTTGAGGAGCGCGTGACCCAGATTGCGGAGCAGGGGCGGCAGACGTTCAACACGCTCTTCAACCGCGCCAAGGCCAAGTATGACGAGTTTGCCGCCCAGCAGCAGGCCGCGGCCGCCGCGAGGCAGCAGGCGCAGGCGGACGGTAAC